ATATAACATCATGTGCCGTTATTAATCTCCAAAAGTGCTCCAAATAGCGTCTTAATGTCACCTTTCTGTGATCCCACATGAACATTCCTGGTATTACCTCTGTCTTAATTCCTCGTCCGGGCCTTGCATATGGCGGGTGAATAGACACAGCTCCCGGCCTGCCTGCCATTGCCCATGCCAAAAATGGAGTCCCAGTCCATAGGTGAATCCCACTCGTAGCTCGTGGATTGCAATCAATGACCACAAGCTTATCCTCGGTCTCGATGAAATCGAGACCAATTTGTCCATGTAAAGGGAATAAACCTGCAGCGAGCCGCTTCACATACTTCCTGACTCCTGGATGGCTGTAAGCTTCGAAATAAACGCATGAGCTGCCGTCGATCGTTTCAAGTACAGGGTACACCCCATGCGCTCGCAGAGATCCATGATCGAACACACTATACGAGCAATAGCGCGCACCGTGAATCCACTCCTGCGCGATGTACTGTGTCGTTTTGCTGACTTGAATATTGGGGATAGGATGTCCCGGCCGGATGTGGTGGACATTTGTATTCGCCCGCCCGAAAACAGGCTTCACTGCCCACTCTATACTTCGGTCAAGTTTTCGGATATCATCCATGCTCTCGCAAAGATATGCCTTGGGCACGTCAAGCCCAAATCCCTGCATCATTTGCGAGAACTCCCACTTGTTGTGCAAGAGCATAACCTTTTCCCAGGAAGGAGCGTATAACCGGTTCCGAATCAACGGGTCCTCGGATCCCGCCAAGTAGAACGCTTCCTCGTGTATGGGAATAATGACTTGTATTTTCCAAGATAAAACGGCTTTTTTCACGGCTTTGAGATATCCTTCGGGGTCGGTTCGTGGTGCAGGCACTCTTTTGCTTGCGGTCACCATTCGGGAAAATCGACATACATGGTAGCGCATAGGATCTACGCAGTACACGTTATATCCTGCCAGAGCGAACTGCCTAGCGATATCTAGGGAAACAGGGAAACGGCCATTGGTGAGGAGCACGTTAGGCGGCGAGCGGGGTGAGTTTTGGAGATTATTTTTATGTTGTAGTGTGCGGAACCGTGGATTTCTATCTTTTGTGCCCAGTGGCATTGTGGAATAAACCGACAACCTGTAGAAGCATTAACATATAGTAATCTCTAACAATAAGTACCAGTGTATAATGAAATGATGGCACAGTAGTGACCTTACGGAAAGCAAGGAGGAATATAATCGCAGAGAACGTACTGTACAATCAAAGGCGGAATGATTAATACCTAGGTAGAGTCTGGTACGTTGGGCCTTGCTACTTCTTTTTATCCTTCGCCCGGAATTCCCCGGGACGCGAAAGAGAAGGAGGGTGCTGGGAGCAGAAAGGAGGTTGCAGCCCTTAAGGCGATTCAAATCTCTGATAGGCAACTCGTTGGTGTCAGAGGAATAGCATACGAGCATGGCCAAAGGCTTCCTTTATAATCCAGAGGTTGGTGACGTCTGCTAATATGCGAAAGTTTATGGTGTAATGACGTGGGCTGGTCGTCGCTCTTGGATATGTCTGCCGTTTGTTTGCTAGTAACCAAGAGATGGATAGATAACATGGACGTTGACGGAATCACTAGAGAACCACAACTCGTTGAGTTAACTAAATAAATAACCGTGTTAGTTATAGATTTATTTATCAATCAATCCTACGCCGCTGATACATATTAGAAGATGCAGATGGAAAAGCATTGTTGCTCGGCTGCGTTGCCATCCGGGAAATGTTGTCTGAACCATGGATGAACGACCACTATCTTATGTGAACTCTAAACTAGTCAAGCCAAAGTTGTTTATTAATAATATCGGTTGCCACTGCGGAGAGGTTTCATTCAATGAAGTTCGCCCCTCATTAGAAACCTGACTTAGGCTTGCGATCCTCTGTCAGTCCATGAACCACTAGGTACAAATGCCTTCTGATACACAAAATATACCCTTATACCCTACCAGCCTCACATTGCTAGAGTATGTGGACTTCGCTTGGAAGTTAGTGGGTGCTTGTGAGTGTTACCCATCACCTAAAGATAGGCGTATAGAACTCCTAGCTCTAACATGCACATTTGCATACAGTGGCTACAGGCATTTCCGCCGCCGTAACATTTCCCTTCTCCAGGGAGAATGATTCCAGGTCATACAGAACTCATGTGACACATGCGGCGTTGCGAAAACTCACTTCAAGCCTTACCGTGCGACAGATACAGTGCGCAGCTCCTGTCAATTGTCTTCTGAGGTTTATCGTCTGCTCATAAATTGACGTTTCTTGTAGAATTACTACCACTGCAGCATCATATGAAAGCTTCACAACATCCAGAGGCATTGAGACGCAAACAGTAAAATGGGGGGAGACCGGAGAGGGTCACTGGGTTGGGAACCAGGATGCTTCTAATGTCTTGGTATGGTTTCATGGTAGGTCGAAGTCTCACTATTATGGGTCATCAGTATTCGAACTAGCTTCTAAAAACCTTCCAGGTGGGAACTATTATGCACCTGCCCATCCGGCCTATTTTGAATTCTTACAGAACATGGTCGATGCATTGCGCCAGTCGAATGTGGATTTTGCCATCTTTGTACCTTCATATTCACTCGCTCCCCATGCGCAATATCCTACCCAATTGCTCGAGGGGCTTCAGGTATTACGGTTTCTCATTGAGGAAGAGGGGAAGCTCGCCAAGAATATTGCCATTGGAGGTGACTCGGCTGGGGGCAATCTGGTCCTCGGAATTCTGTCACATATTGCGCATCCACATCCCGGAATATCTGAAGGTTTCATCCCAGACGAGCCGTTTGCTGGTGCGTTGATACATTGTCCTTGGGTAACATTCGATCAAACATGGCCATCTATTGAGCGGAACAAACACAAAGACTCTGTGCCGCTCCTCCCAAACAGTGTCCATGCTAAGTACTTTCTCGGCGATGCACCTTCGGACAATTACAATGAGCCGCTTAGTGCGCCTCCGGAGTGGTGGGCAGGCCTGAATGCACGTATGCTACTCTTACTCTCCGGCGAGGATGATATTATGGTTGATTCACATCATGCATTTGGGAAGATCCTTGTGGTATGTGTCCTAACTCTCTCGTTATGCAAAATTACCGCTATCCAAGACCAAGTGTACTAACTTCAGGTGGTAGTCTGCAAACCCATATAACACGGAAATGGTGGTGGCCGGAGGAGAAGGACACGTTGCTCCTGTGTTGGATCTGATGCTTGGAGATCGGAATGAGTTTGAGAGCAGCAAGAGGATGAAGCAGTGGCTATTATCATGCTTTTAGGTTGGAGAGACACATTCTTGCAGGTTCATAAGACGGAGCATACTTTATATCGCTTACCTTTTGCATATATGTGGCTTTTTTTCTTGACATTGGTCAAAATGCTTGTCCTTATAGATGTCTAAGGCTGTTGTGTTGCGGTAGTCCTTTAATGGCATAGAGAAATCGGAATAATGTCACAATATCGTCCACGTCTCAGATGAAATAGGTCAGTTCAGCAGTCAATAACTGACTACCTTTTGAGTTTCTGAGCGTATAGTGCGGTGAGTGATCTTCTACAACGATAAAGTAAATATAGGTGGACCCAAAAGGGCTGGTATATATCCAATCAGCCTTCCATCCGATGCTGAACTATGCAAGTTTCCATAGAGATTCCCCATTTGGAGATATTATGGATTTTGTATTCGACACATAGCATCAGAACCTAACACCTGGGACGGTGATTCAAGATGCCCCGTTGGATGCCAGTTAATTTATCTTTTATTATCTCTATGAAGCCAGCAGCCCGTGCAATATACCTGTAGAATTCTCATTGTGATGTAAGCAAATCTGGAGACCTACATCACTGAGGGAACGTGCTGGTTTTGTTTTAGTAAGGTGCTGCTGGATTATGGTAACAAGCCCTTCCTAGGGTTTAAGTTTTGAAGATGTTTAGATGCGCGAGAGATATACTCCTTAATTTAAGAACAGAGATTCATGATAGTAAGGGTGCGTAGTAGGTAGAAAAGCTTCAATCTCATCGTTAAAGTGAAACTTTTCTAAGGTGAAGCTCACTGCCTGCCCGCCTTCCAGTGCTAGTATAGACGACTATAGGATTTTCACAGCTAATAATACCAGCATACTCTGTCAAGGGGAGTGACCAAGGAGGACCAATGGGTTGATTGTGGGTGCGGCCCCGAAGACCCCTCTAGAGCAGCCAGGCTAGTCCCAAAGAGGAAATTTAGAAGCCTGAGGCTCGACCATCTTTTATCCCTGCATTAGTCAGGTTAGTATAGGACTCGATGGTTTGAAAGCATGGTTTACGCATTATTTAATTTGCTGATTGGTAGCTGACTGTGGCCAAGTATGCCGGTATTCCGATCGATCGTTGTTCAATGGATGTGTTTTATGCACCTTGTTCTTTGTCGTGGTTCCTCTTTTCCCTCTTCTGTAGCCCGCTCTTCCTGATCCGGTGTGAGATATATATCATTGCGTCTGTATGATAGAAATTGTGCATGATAAGAACTGCACCGGCGGTAAACCCCTAGCTTCTTGCGTCTGTTACTTCCATATCCGCGAGACAAGCGTTGGACGTGGAATACCAGGAGGCTATGACCACAAGTTGTATCTTATTTGAGTTCCTTCAAAGCTACCTAGCCCTAGAAAGACAGGAGCTGACTTTGGAAATTTCTCGCTTCGAAGACGTTCTTTCAACCGAAAATACTGCGGAATAATTGGACATCAACCTTCAATTGGGAGTCGGAACCAGTGGGGCGCAGAGGAGATTCACGATTCCCCGGCCAAAATAGGCCATCTGCCCTCAATGGATCGGAGATCACTTGAGCCATATGACAAAAAGCTAGTTATCTCAAAGCTTGGAGGTTGATGGATCTTGGACAAAGAGAAGGATATGGGCTGATCTGCAGTGGTCCGTCGTGGCATGGTCTTAGGGCTGCCACCACCACTTTAGGCAGGACGCAGCTGCCGTGACTACAAATAGCTGCGCCTACTCCCATAGTTAGAGAATAATTATCCCACTGGTAGCTTAATCGAAGGTCTCAAATGTGACGAGGAGTCACATATACCGTACTTCTTTTTTTATGCAACCTTTGGAATTTTCTGCACAATTTGGTGGGTACGATTTCATGTTGGGTTTTCTCTTTTCTCTATTATTATTGGAGGAGATTCGGGATCCGTCCGGGGTTGTGGCGCGGGGTAGTGACTGTCCGGGGTAACACTGGCCGCGTCCATCGCGCCGCGGATGAAATGACACCGAGCCGTGTCTGACTGTGGGAGCCATCAGTTTCTTTAGGGATGGATAATATTTATGTTGCATCCCGCACATCCAGTTGCTCCTCCTGAGCATGGGACTATGGTATTCTACAGATCCAGATATAGAGAGACCAAGTATTATGAGCACCCGACTTCATATTCCAACATTCTGAATGCATTTACCCGGGGGACTCGATCTCCGGAGTCAAGCCCAGCGCTAACGAAGAATTTAGTTAGTGCTTATCCTCTCCCGGCCCCTCGGTCCAATTGACTTGCTCATTATGATAGGCCCAACAGGACTGAACCCGCCGGACAGGGAATCACGAGGGTCGGGGGGTTTCAGAGTGTACTGTACAACCAGGATGGAGGATTCTGGCCTCTCCGCTGCGCCCCAAATCAGGCAATTCTCCGGCGAATCGAACGCCACCAAATTGCCACTGCAGCAGACCCCCTAAAGAAACCAGTGCATTTCCTGCCCGACTAGTACCTATCGGATGACTTCGCTCGACACGAGCCTACCATAATCAAGGAACGCTGCTACCGTAGTGCCCGGTTAAATAACCCTTTCAAAGTCCGGAGCAAGCTTCACTGAATTAAGATAAGATCCGTATCCCCATGTCGACCGTGTTGCCGTAGGTATAAAGAACTGAAACCCCCAGCCCTGCCTGCGTCTCCTTTTAATCACCCGCTTCTCTCAGACATTGTCAACATGGGTAGCGACATCGCAGAGAAGGAGACCTCGGCATTGGAGGTCGAGGCGCACGCCCCCTCGACGGGCGGACCTGTCTACGATGTCGACGAGAAGGTCGACTACGACAGATCGGGCGCCATCGATGCCGAGAAGGTCGAACATGATATGACTGTGCTCCAGGCTGTCAAAGCCTATCCCGCAGCCAGCTGGTGGGCATTCCTGATGTCATGCACCATTGTAAGCTCTTGTCCATGATTGGCAGATCATTTCTCTAACGTTGCGATAGATCATGGAGTCATACTGTGTCTTCTTAATGGGACAGTTTGTAGCCATGGATCAATTCGCCCGGCATTTTGGCGTACGCAGCACAGTCAAAGACGAGTGGATTATCGAAGCTTCATGGCAGTCCGCATTCCAGTGCAGTGGGCCAGTTGGTGCCTTCATCGGTGTCTTCATCGCAGGTCCCATTACCAGTTGGATCGGATATCGATGGGCAACCATTGGTGGTCTCATGTTCTTGAACGCCTTCATCTTCATCTTCTATTTCGGCAACAGCCAGGGGGTGCTTTTAGCGTCCCAGATCCTGGAAGGCATTCCGTGGGGCATTTTTATCGCCAATGCACCCGCCTACTGTTCCGAAATTGTGCCAATGAGATTGAGGGCTCCAGCGACGCAGATGTTGCAGATGTTCTGGGCCATTGGATCGATCATCGTCGGTGGTATCACTTACCACTACCAATCCAGGCCGGACGCATCATCGTACAGGTTCGTCCGCTGACATCGATGCCATCGAGAAGCATTGTACTGACAGTCATCCCAGAGTTCCCATTGCACTCCAGTGGATGTTTCCTACTCCCCTCGCTATCCTGATTTTCATTGCGCCTGAATCACCCTGGTGGCTCGTACGTAAGGGCCGTCTGGCTGAGGCAGAGAAGGCTATCAAACGCCTCGGGCGCGCGAGTGCGAATGAGAATCCCGCTGACGCAGTCGCCATGATGCGTCGCACGATCGAACTCGAGAAGAACGAGAAGAAGCCCAGTCTCGTGGAGCTGTGGAAGGGGACCGATCTCTACCGCACATTGATTGTGTGCGGTGTGTACGCATCTCAGAATCTGACGGGAAATCTGATTGCTAACCAAGCTGTTTACTTTTTCAAACGTGAGTCCTGCCATTTCCTGTGACCTCGCAGCAGACTAACACCAATTCAGAGGCCGGCATGGTGGAAAACACCGCATTTGCGCTTGGTCTCATCACTTCTGCCCTCCAGGCGGTAATGGTGATGCTCTCCTGGATCTTGACCACATACGTCGGCCGACGCACCATCTACGTCTACGGTCAATTAATTAACTGTGTATTCTTGATCGCGCTCGGTATTGCGGCATCAGTTGGCCGTAGTGACGCGGCTAGCAATGCGCAGGCATCACTTGGCTTGATCGTCTCCGTCCTGTTCTGCTTGGGACCTGCCCCTGCTTCATGGGTCATCATCGGCGAGACTTCTTCCGTTCGTCTCAGGCCACTCACAACCGGCATTGGAAGAGGTGCCTACTACGTCGTCAATATTCCCTGCATCTTCCTTGCCAGCTACATGCTCAACACTGATAAATGGGACCTGGGCGGCAAGAGCGGGTACGTCTGGGCTGGTACAGCCTTTATCTGCACCGCCATGGCTTGGCTCTGGGTTCCGGAGATGAAGGACAGATCCTTCCGTGAGATCGACATTCTGTTCCGCCGTCGTGTTCCTGCTCGGAAGTGGAAGCAGACAGTCGTCGATATCCGCGATGACGAGTAGATGGAAATTGGTGTGCTTCTGATTGTTTGGGGATGAATGGTAGAGATGAGTACCTTAGTTACATGTAATTATTTTAAGTTGAATGGCTGGTTTCGAACGAGGGCGATGGTTCGCATGTTATTATATATAGTAGAATGGACCTTGTCAGTGGCCGTGAATCTGGAGTAACCACACAATGCCCCATCATTACTTTACCGACTACGAGATCCCCGCATGAACAGCGCAGGTGTAGAATCTGATCCATACGGCCCAGCGATGAATCCTGTCCGCACCAGATAACTAAGCGTCCCAGCAATGGATTCCCGCACCGATGTGCTGCTCACTGTATGATCCACTTGGTCTGCCGGGAGAGGCAACCCGAGATGTTGATCAGCCACGTCTAGAAAGTGCATAACTGGCCACATGGGATGCTTCTCGCCGCCCTGATCGACTGATGCGCGGAGGATTGACATGAAATCGTCACGGGGAAGCGGTTGCAGCTCACGTTGCAGCGTTTCCATGATGACACACCAGAACTCGGCAACAGTGATCCCATCATCCACTGTTAAAAATTTGCCGCTGGGCGGCCCGTGGAGGGTCACGTCGAGGATCTGGCGTGCAATGCCCTGCCGACCAGCCACAAATAGCCAGTTCGCGCGATCGCTACCGTTGAAGAAGCCTAGCTGGACGCACGCCGACACGTAGCGCCACAGGAAGTCGTCCAGGTTGGCAACCCCCACGTCAGCGTCGCCGATGATGTATCCGGGAGTTATGATCGACATATAGTGGTTGGATCCGTGCATGCGACTGGCGTAATCCCGGACCAATAGCTCTGATAGCGTCTTAGACTGAGCGTATCCGTTCGTCGCCGGTAAGGCCTTGAGGAGACGGTGTGGTAGAGCGGATTGCGGCTCAAACGTGCGAAGGCCACCAGAGACGTAGCAGAAACGACTACCTGAGTGAGCAGCCGCCGCCAGAAGGTCCAGGGTGGACAGAACATTCGCCGCTCGAAGAACGGGGTAGGGGGCGTTCCAATGCACCCGGGCCCCATTGTGGATAATGGCGTCGACAGAACCCCCATATCCTGTAAGCCGTGCCCACTGATGCTCTTCCAAGCCGAGCCGGGAGCTGGCGAGATCTCCGCGCCAGACGATCAGTTTGTCCGCATAGCTCTCCTGCCACCATCCTAGTGCTCGAGCTATGTTCTCTACCCTCTCTCGAGCACTCGCCACTGTGGGGGCCCGGACCAACGCGATTACTTCATGGAGCTCAGGAGACATCAGCAGTTGATGTAAAATCTCACTGCCTAAGTATCCTGTGGCACCTGTGACAAGGACGGAGCGTACCGATTGCGTGTTCGCTCCATCACGGCGGCGGATCCCTACACGCGATGCGAGTTCGGACCTGAGCAGATCCCATTCTTGGACGAAATCAATGCTGTGGGCATCCAATTCCTCCCCGACCTGGGCTTGTTCAATCCATCGCGCCACACGGCCCACAGTCATCCCGTCCCTGGATAATGCAGCAATCGGAATATTAACACCATAGCGACGGTGAATTGACCTCCCCAGCCCGATAACGCTAATGGAGTCGATGCCAGCTCGCGCTAAATCTAGGTCCTTGCCTCTCAGTACATCACGATCCTGGACCGGAAGGTAATCAACTACTAGCCGGTTGACCTCTTGCGCCAGGGTGTCCTCCGCATCCAGCATCGGCGAGGCATGATATCCCATGCTGCCGTCGACTCGACAAGCGCTTGCCTGTTCAACAGAGAGGTTCTCGACCCAGTTTTGCATGCGAACCCGGTCAACCTTGCCCGAGCGCAGCATGGGGATGGCCTTCATGATGATGAGGGCGGCAGGCATCATGTGGCTCGGAACTTTGCTGGCCAGCCGCTCCAGAATCGGCTCTGTCATGAGGACATCCGGGAGGGGCTGCAATTCACTGTCCAGATTCTGGGGTAGACCTTGCGGCTGAACCAGGGCTACAATTTGCTTCAGAAACGGGCCTTGTTTGGGGAACACGCAGAGCGACAACGACAGGGACGAATCCAGTGAGAGATGGTATTCGATTTCTCCAAGCTCGACTCGCTGTCCGCGCACTTTGACTTGAGTATCTCGACGACCAATGATGGTGATTGTGCCATCGGAGTTGTATCGGCCTAGATCCCCACTGCGGTAGACGCGACGGGGAATCCAGGTGGTATCGGCCATCGCGTCTCCGTCCTTAGCCCAAGTGGGATGCTCGATGAAGCTGCTTCGCGTCTTCTCCTGGTCGCCCAGATACCCTCGGGCTAGATGTGGACCAGAAACAAGAAGCTCGCCAACACAACCTATCGCGGCGAGGCAATGCGGATCATCGGGCCGGGCAATCCAAACGCGCTCGCCAATTGGACGGCCTATGTTCCCCGGCTCATGCTGAAACCGTGCTACGTCGTCGTTAACAACGGAATGGGCACAGCATTCGCTGGGGCCCCAACCATTAAGTACTCGGCGACCTGCCCACTGTGTGACACTGCGGACAGTTAATGGTTCTCCCCCGAGGGCCACTGTTCGCAGGCCCGGTACCTCCTCGGGGTTGAGAAGGATGCTGAAAGATGGGGTGAAAAAGGCCCAGTTCACCTTCAGGCTGCGTATTGTGGCAGCAAGATCCCCGAGTCTGTCCGCCTCTGATGGGATACATATACAGCCGCCCAAAGCCAGGGTGCACCAGATCTCCTGTATACTGACATCGTACGTGAAGGCGGCAAACTGCAGCACCCGCGACTCATGATCCATGTACATCGTACGCCCTACATCCAAGGCTGTGGTCGCAACAGAGGCGTGTTCCATCATGACTCCCTTGGGTTCTCCAGTGCTTCCGGAAGTGAACAAGATATAAGCCAAATTGTCCGGACGTGTTCGCGGCAATTCAGGAGAATGCGGAACCGGTGCAGACAGCATTATGGTATCGTGGTCGACGACCATGTGGCCATATCCAAGGCTACTTGCCAGAGCCTCTGTAGAGGGACCGCACAGGATAACGGGTGGGGTAAGCTGTTGAACAATGCTTTGAAGTCGGACGGGAGGACTTGATGGATCCAGCGCGACGTAGCAGCTACCGGCCATGAGGATTGCCATCATGGCTACAATAGCAGAAGACGATTTATGGAAGCAGACTGGAATTGCCACCTCAGGACCAGCTCCAAGATGAATCAATTCCATAGCGAGATGCTCGCTGGCCGCCTCCAATTCCTGATAAGTGAGGGAAGCGTCCCAGGCTTCAATCGCTGGGCTATCCGGCTGGATCTGGGCTTGTTGCCGAAAAAGATGATGCAAGCACTGGTCAACCCGTTCAGAGCCCTTTCCATTCCATTCTTGTAGCGTTTGAATATCTTCCTGCCCCAGCAGTGTTATGTCAGCGAGAGGCATCCTGAGGTCTGATCTGAAGAACGTTTGGAGGACATTGGAGAAATGGCGCAGAAGCCGCTGAGCTTGCGTTACGTGTATCAGATCTGGATCATAATGGGCCAGCAGCTGAATCTCCTGGTCAATGGAGATACACTCCATGGTAAGAGGAACTCCCTCCGCCATGGAAGGTTCCATATGTTGACGGATCCCCAACTCCTCGAGAGCGTACCAAGGGGCTTTCTGTGATGACTCTGGCTGCACGACAAGCACATTTTGTGTCTGGAATACCTCAGAGAGCCTGGGAACAGCTCGCTTAATGTTCTGTAAGCCAAAGTGCTGGAATGGGAGTACGTCGAGTGAATGGCGCTGCACTGTTTCCAGCAAGCATCCAAGATCCCAATTCGCTTCAATCCGCAGTCGAACAGGAATTGTGCAGATGGTCGGACCAAGCATGGAAGCTGAGGCAGCTGCGATCTGATCACGGCCAGACAGGGTCATACTAAACAAGACATCCCTAGTGTTGCAATACGAACCCACAAGGAAAGCCCACGCAGCTTTAATGACGTTGGCGGGTGTGATACCCGCCTCTCGGGCCCGCGTGGGGTCGACAGGTACGACATGGCCGAGCTTCTCGGTACCGCACGTCTGGTGACTGTGTTTGACCGGAACTGGGAAATCGCAGGATTCAGCGTCCTCCAGTTGTGACCGCCAGAACTCGATCGATGCGGGGTCAGTGGGAGGTCGTACGGTGTGTGAAATGAACTGCTTAAACGAGTTCGGGCCACTGTTACTTGAAGCATTAGGATCGCGATACAATAACACTACTTGCTCAAAGATGAGTGGCAGGGACCATCCATCGTAGACGGCGTGATGTGCTGTCCAAACGAAAAGTAACCGGCCGTCCTCTTCGCGAACCAGCGCATGTTTCGTCAGCGGGGCACCCATTGCACCACTGGCGGGCTCGGCTGACAAGTAGTTATTGAGGCCGTCAACTGCTTCCCACTCGTGGAGCTCCTTTCTCAGGAGCACTTGGTATGTCCCTTTCCCGGGTATATGAACGATACGGGTGCGAAGGATAGGATTCAGATCGCTCAAACGTTGCCATGCACGCTGGAAACGGTCCAGGTCGAGTGACGGTGGCAACAAAAAAATATGTCGTGAGATATAGAGATTAGCCCGATGCGTGGAGAAGCTGTAAAAAGCCTCCTGCAAGGCTGTACAAGGATAGACGTCCTCAATATTACTGGACGACAGCTGATACTCTCGCGCGATCCCATCCAGAAGGAAAGTAGAGAGCAAATCCGTGCCATTAGGCTCGTCCATCTCGCTAGCTTGCAGCGAGTTAGATGAGATGGTGAGCGCCATGTCTGCGAGGCGCGGAGCCTTCAGGATCCCTGGGACTGTGAGGGGGATGGCTTTCTGATGTGCGAGGAGGCTGAGTTTCATGGCAGATAATGAGTCTCCGCCCAGCGCGATGAAACTGTCGTCAGGGGAAAGGGAACGTTGGGCGTCTAGGGAGAGCGCTTGTCGCCATAAACCAGCCAGTTCCAGTTCGGTCGCCGTCTTCAGGGGTCGAACAACTGGTACATGCTCATACCCTTGGTACTGTGACATATCCTGTGCACTCAGCTGCCTAAGCAGCTGGCGGCATTGCGAGCGATCAGCTTTGCCGTTTGGTCCTCGCGGCATCTGGGCCAATGGGATAAAGTATCGAGGAATCATATATCCAGGCAGTTGTTGGCCCAATCGATGACGAAGTCTCGGCCACAGTAGTCGCCATCGCTTCAGGATGTGCAATCCGGCAAGATAGGCCACGACACATGGACCAGATTCCATGTCAACAAGGTCAACCGCAACAGAAGTCCGGGAAGTGTGCTCACGCGCTAGTGCCTGGAGAATCTGTTGCTCAATCTCCCCCGGCTCCACTCTAACACCGTGCACTTTCATCTGGTTGTCTTTGCGACCAACAAACTCCAAGGAACCGTTGGACGTATATCGAACCAGATCGCCTGTTAAGTATACCCGGCGAGAGGTGTTCGCACCGAAACAGTCAGAAAATGCCCTCATCCACTCCAAATGCTCGGGAAACGCAGCTCTCGTCTTCTCTTCATCAAGATAACCCCTCGCGAGGCTTCTACCTCCCAAGGCCAGTTCTCCAACGCAGCCGACAGGGGCCAGATGATGGGGGTTCTCTGGGTCAAGGATCCAATGCTGGCCACCAATGGGGCAGCCGATATTTGCGATGGATGTCCGGGTAAGATCAGGATTCAAGGAGGCGCAGATGGTGCCTTCTGTCGGACCGTAACCGTTCATCACACGTAACACCGGGTTGATTGTACGCAAGCGCACGAGGTCTTCCTTCAATACGGCTTCTCCGGCATAGACGAGACAATGTAGCGCTCGTATGCTCGTCTGTTCGAGCAGGCGCGATACTGTCGGGGTGAGAATGGTGATGTTCACTTTAAACGAAGTGATGAAATCCGAGAGAGCGCTAGTCCGCTGAGTATCGGACGGCACACAAAGTGTGCCACCATACCAAAGAGTTGCCCAGTGCTCCATGGCATGCGCATCCCATTGATACGAGGAAAATTGCAACGTGCGAGTATGAGAATTCATCTCCATTGCCATTCCACACTCTTGAACGACGGTGGTTAGGGCCATATGGTCCACCAGGACACCCTTGGGGATCCCTGTCGACCCACTAGTAAATATGGTGTAGGCCGTTGAGCCCATGGATGCAGGGGTGGTGAGGGATGAGCCCGCAGTTGTTGCGACAATGCTACTGCTACCCATGACCACCACGGGAATCTGGAGCGGGCGAGCAAGTGCCTGTGCCGTCTCGGCGAGTGGCGCAGACGACATAATAGCTGTGCATTGGGACGTCCTAAGTACCTCCATCGGTCGCTCCGGAGGCTGTTCCCCGTCCAGAATGAGGTATCCCGCGCCCGCCTTCCAGGTGGCTAACATCGCAACAACGGCCCATTTGGACTTTGCGAACAGCAGCGCTACCAGGTCACCTGGGTTCACCCCGCCCGCTTGGAGTCTTTGGCTCCATATGTTGGAAAGGCTGTCCAATTGCCTGCGTGTCCACTGCCCATCCCATGCGTCCACGCAAACTGTCTCTGGCGATTCCCTAGCCAGCTGGCTTAGACGCATTGGGACTGTGAGTGTCGGAACAGGCTTTCGCAGGGCTCTCTGTTGCCAGGTGCGGATGGTCAATTTATCGCGGTCGCTAAACGGCGAAACTGTAGCGACTGTCTGGGGATTGCCGTGTATCATGATCTCTTGCAACCGCTGTAGTGTAGTTCTGAAGTGCGCCATGAGGCTTCGGATATAGTTCCGCTCCAATATCGCGCTGTCAAAGATGGCTTCTAGAACTGTTTCGTCCCCGTCTAACCACAACTGCAGGGTCAGAGGATACGACTGGATCATCTCTCCTCCCTGTACCTCAAGCACCAGCGAGTCGCTGGGAGAGCGAAGCGGAGCCTGTTTATTCGGCTGCACGACTAGTAGCGTCTGAAAGGCACAGGCTTGTCGCGGCGCCTCGCCCAGATTCCGGATGGCGGAAAGCCCTATATGTGCGTGAATCATTGCCTCTGTAGCCCGGGATTGAAGGGTGTGGATAAATGCGTGGACTGTCTGCTGCCCATCAATGGAGACAGGGAAGGGTATAGTGGCCAAGACGGGTCCAACCATATGATCAATGCCGGCAATTGGAAGCAAGCGGCCTGATATAACATATCCGAAACAGACGCTAGAGCTTCCCGTGTGGCACGACATGGTGAGTCCCAGGGCTGCTAAAATTGTCGCGGCTGCGCTTATGCCGGAAGGTTTCACCGAGAGCTTGCAAGTTTCCGTCTGATACATAGATCTCCCATCAGTCGATGAGCGTGACCCTTGATGCAATGGGAACGACGACATCGTCTGCTGACTTAAGGATTCTCTCCAGAAAGACTCAGCAGCGGACACATCAAAACTAGTATCAAGATAGCGGATAAAGTCTTGGAACGCAGCTGATGGGGGTGTAGGCGGGGGGTTCGAGTTCTCGTAGAGCTGAATCACTTCCGAGAGGACTAGTTCTAGAGACCAACCATCGATGAGGGCATGGTGGATGGACCAGATGAACGTGGATTCATCATCGAAATGTAAAGCAGAGGATTCCCACCCTAGCATCTGACCGTTTTCCCCCTTGGGCGGAGCGTTCCAGGCAGGAGACCAATCCCGTATCACGGCTTGATAGATCCTCCCGAAAATGGAGACAAAGCGGCAGCGAAGCACGGCGTGGCGTTGATAGACTGTATGCCAGCACATTTGCCATCGTTTTCTGTCCAGGTTGCCATGTATCGCTACCCGGTATTTGGCAAAATACGCGTCGGACTCCTGGAAGGTCAGCGATACCAGAGCCTCCTGAAATGGAGTACAAGGGAGGATATCTTCAACCGCCGTGGTTGCTTCTCCACACTGTTCCGCTGCTTTACTGAGCCACTCTCCCCTACTCTCTGTGGGCACAAAGTGGAAGGGCCCCAGGTCTCTGCCTTTCTCGGCACCTATGGGTCTCGCTCGCACCGCCATGCTAGAGAGAATTGGACGCGTAAAAATTTCCTGCGCGCTTATTCGCAGTCCCTTCTTTGCAGCGAGTCCTACGAGTTTGATTGCCGAAAAGGAATCTCCACCGCTCTCGAAGAAATGACAATCAGGACCTATGATTGTCGGACTCAAATCCAACACACTGGCAAAGCAGTCCTGGAGAATCACTTCTTCTTTTGTCATCTTTATTGTAACGTTGGCTTCCCGCAGCCCTGCCAGCTGCTGGGGCTGCAGACGACTCGCTAGAAGGCGTAAATGCTTGCGGTCTGTCTTTCCTGAAAGGGTTTGGGGAAGACGTCGTATAGGCACAATTAGGGTTGGCACCATGTACGAGGGCAGGTCACGTGCCAGTTGAGCTTTTGCTCGAGCAAATTCAGCGCGCTGACCGTCATCTGGCACCAGGATCGAGTTATCCTCGTCCTCCATGATGTTGGCATCACATCCCACTTCAACAAATGCTGCGAGGGTCGCTCGCCGAGCTTTCCCGATGTGGACGATCTCCACTGCCAGATGAGGCCCTAAGCCCGCCTGAGCGAGGTGATATTCAACGTCTCGCAACTCGATCCGTTGACCACGGAGCTTCACTTGGGTGTCCCGCCGAGCCACGTAGTGCACATTGCCCGCTTCATCATACCGGACCAGGTCCCCTGTCCGGTAAAATCGCTGAAGGTGTTGATGTTCAGGAAAGTGTTGAAGCCACAAAGGTTTGCGGAGAAAGGCATCCGCCGTACGCTGGGGGTCGTTCAGATACCCTCGCCCGACGATGTGGCCGCAGATGAGCAACTCCCCGGTCTCCCCGACAGGCGCAAGTTTATCCGGGCTGCCAGCTTCGACAATCCAGGTTGACCCTCCCACTGGGCGCCCTAGGCTAGTGGGCGGTGTATCAGGACGAACGTGGGCGTGCATTTGCGCCAGCGTGGTACATTCCGAGGGCCCGTACACCATATGTAGGTCCACGCGGCCCGACCACATCTCAACCAACTGACGCGGAACGGGCTCCCCGCCCAAGACGAGACTTGAGAGTGTCGGAATTTCGTCGGGTTCCACCAACGAAGCCACCGTTGGAGTTAAGAATGACCAGTTCACATGAAGTCCGCTCATCGCCGCTCCCAGGTTGCTGATGCGGTCTGTCTCGGACGGAATGCATACGGTGCCGCCGAAGATGAGAGTCGTGAATATCTCCATAATACTGACATCGAAGGTGTAAGTGGAGAACTGGAAGGAGCGCGTTTGAGGGCCGAAGCCAATGATGCGCCCATGCTCCCGCGCGGCGGTCGTGATGTTACCGTGTTCCAAGACCACTCCTTTTGGCTTTCCGGTCGACCCAGAGGTATAAATGACACAGAACACGTTTGATGGTGACACAGTGGGCAGGGAAATCTCGCATGGGCTCCCCAGGAGATCCTCGATTCTGAGGCTTCGCATCGGGATCAGGGATGCTGTCGATGCCGCAGTCAGAATTGCTTTGGGGCCGCAGGTATCCACGATTTCCTGGATGCGAGCACTCGGATAGTTGGGATCAAGTGGACAGTAGCCAGCTCCCGCCTTAAGAATGGCCAGCAGGGCCACCACGGCCCACCGGGACTTGTCGACGCAGATGGCCACCAGATCTTCCTGCCCGACTCCAGCTGCGGCTAGATGATGCGCCATCCGGTCCGAGAGGTCCTCGAGTTGCTGATATGTCAGTTGGCCATCCCAGGCATCGACACTGGTAGCGTCCGGTGATTGCATGGCTGCGTGGCTGATGAGATCCTGAACGGAATGGGCGACCTGCTCTGGACAGTGCTTGTTCCATTTTCGGATCTGCTGGATGTCTTCCGCCCTGCAACGAGAGATATCTCCAATCTGTTGTCGTGCATCGCCCAATAAACTGTTGAGGACCGTCTCAAAGGCGTCACCCAGCCGGGCATGATCCTCAGGAGAGAGAAACCCTTGGCGGGATGTCATGGACACTCGAGCATACGAGGAAAAGACATCGACTTGAATGACAACATCATACTCGGTCAGCTCGTCAAGTCTGACTCGACGTATCGTAATATCCCCAGGCGCTGCTTCCCGATGCTGCTCTACGGTGAGTATTGTGTTGAACAGGGTTGCGTCTTGGACGCCAGCCCAGCGCTGGATGGCCCGTAGAGGTGCCCCTACGTGTGGGAGTGCCGCCAAATGCGCTTCCTGGCACATCTGCGCAGCCTCTACAACGGTCATGTCACTTCGAACGTGCAAAGTGTCCACTGTCGTGTAGATAGCCGGCCCCACGAGCGCTTGTGCCACCCCGTCCACTAGGCGAGCCCGATCCGAGAGTACCCATCCGAAGCACGGGTGCTCGTTACCCGTGTACCAAAACAGGACAATCCCCCATACGAGGTGAAAGAGCGTTGGCGACGTAATCCCTAGTTCAGCGGCGACAAAGTCTAAGGTCTTTTTGGGCCACGGCCCGAGGACGGTCGATAGTGGCTGTGTGCTCTCCGATGGTGCTTCTTTCGAACCGGGCAGGATCGTGGGCTCCATTTCCTGTAAGATATCCTTCCAGTAGGCGACGGTCACATCGGGGATCGATAGTGAAGATTGTGTGGTCGCGTAATCCGCAAATTGGGGAGCAACGGGGGTTTCTGGGTTGGCTGGGACATCGACCCTCAGGACTCTACCAAGATAACTGCTCATCTCGGCAGCGATTACTCCGAGAGAGGTGCCATCAATGAGGCTGTGACATACCTCCAGCCGCACATGTGTTACTGTGGCTTCGGAGAAGATTGTGATTTTATGCCGCGGCCGGTGTGGCAGGAACGGATCTTCCATCAGCGGTACCCCTGGTGCTCCTTCGATAACCTCGACGACTGGCTCAGTGGATTTGAGAACAACGTGTACAAGAAACGGATTCTCAGTTAAGCATTGGCAAGCCAGTGCACGAAGGATATCGTGCCGTGAAACAACGTGCTTCCAGGCATCGATCAACAGCTGCGGCTCAACCCCTTTCCCGGCGCGCGAGAACTCCCAGAGCACCGATACGCGGTAAAGGTTGGGATCCCGTTGCTGAGCCACAAGCATTCCTTCCTGCACGGGAGTGCAGCGGTATAATGCCTGGATATCACCATTTCGACTCAGGGCTACGTTGAAACCCTTAAGAGCGTCGAGCAAGGCAGTGAAGGAGGCCTCATCCAAGGACAGATGTGGGAAGTCGGCCCGTGTCAGGCGCAGTGTCGTCCCCTCCAAGTGCCTCCTGAGATGCTGTAGTGTGTCTCTCCAGAGGTCTGAGACCATCTCGACGCGAGCTTTTGCCTCCTGCATATGCCGGTTATAGCGCACAAACGCCCGGAGACATCCCCGGTCAACGGCAGTCTCGATCTCAAGTAGTCCGTATCGTGGTAGAGTAGGGCCGTCGAATGTGGCATCATACTTCCCCCAGGCTGTAGCCTGCAGGTGTCTGTCTTCACGCTCCAGTTCACGGTATCGACCGTGGAAGTTGAAGACCACTTCCGGTTGCCAGTGGTCTTTGAAAGGAGGTCGGATAGGCGCCGTCTTCGTATGGGTTGCAGCGAAGTATGGTCGGCCGTTGAGGGGGCTTGTCGTTCGAATGTATCTGGCCTGATTAATCTGCCCGACAATCCCGTTGGGTCTATCAAAGTGGAAAGGATACATGGTAGTGAACCACCCCACTGTCTGTGTGATATCTAGCTGGCAACCCTCCCAGGTCTCACGCCCATGACCTTCATTAAAAATGGTCAAGCTATCTCGATCCCCCAGAACCTTCAGGAAGGCATGAGCGAAGCAGCCCAGAAGGAGGTCGATTGGCTCCGTCCCCAGGGCATCGTTGACGGGACCCATCAGCTGACTCGTGATATCTTCATCCACTTCCCATGCCAGTTGGACCACGTCCCCATACTGGTTATGTTCTCCGTGGACTCCCCAGTACTGGTATCCATCGAAGAACGGAATGCACGGCCCCGTATACACCTCATCCTCGGCCTGCAGCGTGACCAATTGCTTGAGCTGCGCCAGCGTCCACTCCTGAAAGGAGGTGGACAGATGCATAGGGAGGATCTCGCCGTCCAGCAGTGAGTTCAATTCCTGGATCAGAATGCGCCAGGAGACCAGGTCCCCGATCAGGTGATGTGCGTGGATGTAGAGCATCTGGGTTCGAGAAGTTTGGCTCGAAACAAGCTCCACAGCGAGCAACGGGCCATTGGCGATGTCAAATGGCTGACTGGTTGACTCGACAACTGCTGAGATATTGTCAAGAGAATCCACTTCATGCAACGTATAGCGCCAGGAAGCTTGCACATCGGCCACAATCTTCTGGAACCACTGTGATCCTAGCTGAACGAAGCGAGCCCGCAGCATGGAGTGGCGCTGAACGAGCTCGTCCACCGATCTCCTCAAGGTCGTCGCATCCAGTGGTTTGCTGCACCTAAGCAGAAAGCCCATATTGTGATGGTGTCCGCCGTCCGGCCGCAGCCTAAAGTGAAGTTCCTGCATCGGGGACAGTGGGAGAGGAACGTCAAGCAACTCATTCCGTGGCCCCTGGCTGATCGGGGAGGCCCGTTGCTGCATAGCAATCCGCGCTAGGTCTTGCAGGGTCTTCGCTTCAAGTATCTGTTTCACGGTGACGGCAATACCATTCTGCCGTGCCAAACTCACCAGCTGCATCGCAGCAATCGAGTCCCCACCTAGTCGCAAAAAGGAACTGCCCAGGCTTATAGCTTCCGAGGGGATCACCAGAACCTGGCTCCAGTAGGAACGGAAGGTAGCCTCGACCGGAGACCAGGGGCTGTCGCCTGGCATCCTGGACGCACCGGCACTCACGAGGGAGACAGGTGCTCTTTCCAAGGCTTCAGCCCAAAGCTGCACGCTTTTGCGGTCAATTTTGCCGGACGCGGTCAGCGGGACCCGATGTAGTGGAACCCAGATCGATGGGATTAGTCGCTGTGGCATGCGCTCTAGGAGAAACTGTTGCAGCGTTGAGCCATCACAAAGCGGCTCTTCATCGATAGCGATTGCACCCTTTTGACCGGCACCATTGTGCAGGACTCGATTCCCGCTTATGGAGCAGTATACGAGGACGAGCCGCCTCGCAAAGACGCCACGGGAAGGATAGAGCGCTACGCAGGCAGTGACAAGCGGATGGTCCAGAAGATGGCCCTCCACCTCCTCAACTTCTAATCGCTGACCATGTACTTTAACCTGGGTGTCCTTGCGGGCCACAAATAGTACACTACCATCGCTGGCATACCGTACCAGATCTCCACTCAGGTAGACAGTGCCGGTCAGCGTAGAGTCCACCGACCTTCCTTCTGTTTTCCACGATGGAGCGGGTTTGAAACTCATCGCCGTCCGTTCCTGGTCGTTGAGGTATCCCTGGCCAACGATTGGCCCCTCCACCATGAGCTCGCCCACGGCGCCGATGGGTAAGAGCTTGGTATGATCATGCGGGTCGACGATGTATGTGCGACCACCGCATGGCCGGCCAAGACTCGCGGGGTTAGACTCTGCCGTCGCGAAGGGGTGGATTTGGCACAAGACCTACAACGTTAGCCTCTGGATGTTTCTTTTTCTTTCTCTATTGCGCCGCTCACCGTGCATTCACTCGGTCCGTAGACCAGATGCAAGTTGCGGTGGCCCCAACTCTTCAGATTGGAGTGGGTGACGGTCTCGCCTCCAATTATAAGCGTCGTCAGCGACGGCACCTCGTCGGGATTGAGCAAGGATGCAACCGTGGGCGTGAGAAAGCTTAGGTTGATGCGCATCTTGTCGATATAAGCGGCAAGCCTGTTCACCCGGTCGTCATCTGAAGGGATGCAGACGCAGCCGCCAAACAGCAGTGTGGTGAAAATCTCCAACACGCTCACATCGAAAGTGTGAGCAGCAAACTGTAGAGCGCGAGTGGACATGCCAAAATGTAACCGTTTCCCGTGCTCTATAGCGCTAGTCACAATCGCTTCGTGCTGGAGTACGACCCCTTTAGGCCTTCCTGTGCTCCCTGATGTAAACATCACCACCATTGGATCCGAGTCACTTCGTTCGGCCTGTATTGCATTCCACTGTGGCCAGCTTTCCTCGTTTTCGAATCTGGTCGATTGGCTCACACACATGACATTTAACCCTAATCTCTGCAGCCGCTCCCGGAGTGCAGCCGATCCGACAACGAGATGCGAATGGACGCGTCTCACCCCCTCCAACAGATGCGCATCCGATGTCGATGGGTCAAGAGGGACATACGCGGCCCCAGTCTTGAGCACCGCCAGGGCAGCCACGGGGAACCAAACTGTCTTCTCGCAGCAAAGCGGCACCAGATCACCCCTTCCAATTCCGAGAGAGATGAGCTTGATGCTACTCTCGGTAGCATAACGATCCAGCTCGGCGTAAGTGAGGCTGCCATCCCAGGCGTCGATCGCCACGCACTCACCTTTCGAGCGAGCAACATCATGTAGTAAAGCATCCAGATTTCCATGGGTCGCGGGGACCCCAGGACCATTCCAAAGCTCTATTTGCTCCCAGTCGAGGGTCGTGAAGAGATGTAGATCCACCACACGGCACTGGGGATTGGCAGTACTGATCTCCTCCACCGCCAAGCGAAGTCGATGGAGGAGCCTGCGGGCATCCGGGCCGGCCAGTCCCGACAGAGAACATTCGATACCAGCCTCGTCCTTTCCATCTTCCCAGTTAACCTTCAACCCCAGCCGCGTTTCGCCTGATAACACCCTTGCCTCGCAATCTACCGCAGCAGTTGAAAGCGTAATAGAGAGAACAGTCGAAAATGTCTTCATGCGGCCGATGCCATCCTCAGGGAGGCTCGATGTCGAAGATGAGTTGGGCCACGAAAACATCACGGATGACGACGACGACGATGGTGTTGTTGCCGACTCTGTAGAGTCTGAACCAGCTGGTACCATCTGGCCCATGCCAATGCCTTCTTCGAGTGTATCAATCGTTAGGTTCTCGTCGATCTCCACGCTAACTCTACCTTCCCCTCTTCCAGTGGAAAGGGTAAGGTGAAGCTCATTCGTGTCATACTTGTTCCCCGACGATAGGTGAATGGTGGTAACCCATGCCGCTACCAGCCGCCTCTCGATCTTCTTGCGTGCATCTTCGGAGCGGGCTTTGTTTAAACCACAGACCAGTCTACTCAGGCTACACTGCCATGAGTATGCAATAGTAGCCTTGCAAATGTCCATATTCGTTCTTGAAATCCCTAGGATACTCGTAATTCTGTCAGAAGAAATGAGAATGATCGTGTTTTGACTCTCAAATCACGCCATGAACCTATTTTGTTGTTATATAACAGGAATTCAGTGTTCAGCGGCCCTAACATGCTAACCCAAACGCCAGGCCATTGACGAGTCGCCAGACCCTCCTCCGGAGCCGATGCCATAGCTTCGGCAGTCGAAAACTTTCGATCTCGAGTGTGGTCTTCCGATCACCGAATACCGCCGTCCCAACACCGATCGCCGATTTGACGCTGTGTCTATTTGGAGATATATTGTGTCATGTTTCTGTGGCAAAATTAATGCGATAGAAGATCCCTCCGAGACATCGGAGTTATACTGGCCGCAACACAATATAGCGGGGGACAAATGTAAAGCAAAAGCCCTGCGGCAGAGCGCATGGCCGATACTCAAATGTGTGGGGAAGGCCTGGCTTTCAACACCGGGGGGTTATACGGTGATGCCCAGTTGGAATGCAGCACGCCCGAACGGGGGGGAAGGAGGGAGGGTTTCGGCCTCCCCTTCTGGGCCATACAGGAGTTCAGTTCAGGCAGCTAGAGTGTGGATTCTGCGATGGTCCAACCGAGCTTTAATTCGAAAAGGAAGCTGTTGTAGGATTGTGGTCTGTAATAGGAAGAAACTTTCGAACCGCTCCTTGCGCATTCAGAGGCCAGAGGTAACCCCATACTGTAGTTGAGTCAACATGTCTTCACAGCTTCTCTAATAGTTCTGATCTACACTACCCAGACCTAGTTGGTAACTAATAACGCATTTCGCTAAGCGAGACGCTGCCGCAGTGAATCAGGCTCTGCCAGACTACAACTTCAGTCCTACCTGCTGAAACCACAACCCAACCCAGGGTTGAAAAGATTGAAAAGGTGGAATTTGAGTCCCACGTTCAGATTCAAAATTCTATCTTCAAAATCGGAATCAGGCCATTGTGTGGACAATTCTGCTGGCCTAGTACTCTTCATTCCTGCTTTGATGCGAGAAAAATCCATAAAGGCAAAGTACAGTCACCGGAAGAATTTCCCCAAATGTCAGTCCAGGTGCAGTATTTCTAAGTGTGACTTTTCATAATCCAGATAGCTGTTAGAAAAATCAGCTAGGCTGTCACAGCAGGGGGCAATCATATAGGTATTCCTAAAGTGATAACTGACCACCAGAATATCCTTCTCAACGGTGCATCTTCTTAACACTTACCCATCCCAGGTTGAGGGCGCATCCAAAGCCGATCAGAGCGGCAGCGGCAGCACAGTAATAGGGCAACCGCAGCGCCTCGTTATATTTGTGCAGGAATTGCCTCCGTTCCCCGGGTTGTACTTTCTCCCAGATAGATGTCGCACCCACCACGTCGAGAGACTGACCTGACTCTGCAAGTCCCGATGTTTGAAGGATGCCCTGCAGACGTGATATAAAGATCTTCTGTGCTGCCATAAGCAAGACTGAGCCGCCCAGCGACTGGCACAGCATCACCATGGCTAACCCAACCTCAATGTCCGTGTTCGCCAACACGGTCTGGATGGCGATGATGGGCACCTCGGACGCCAAACCCAACCCAATACCCCCCGTCGCCTGAAAGCCGACCCACTGCGCTGCGGATGCGTCGACTTGGAGACGGGTCAACATGAAACCTGACGCAACAACGAGAGCTGAGCCCACGACTCCGCATGGGGTGTAATAGCCCCAGGTGCTGATGAGAAGCCCTGTGAGTAGGCTGCAAACGACTACCCCAACCGTCAGTGGTAAAGTGTGGATGCCGCTTTGAATCACTGACGCAGCCCTGATAGCCTGGAAATAGAGAGGCAGAAAGTAGCCTAGGATGAGAAAGGCACCGCTGAGGAGGAAGGCCTGCGCAAACGCACATACTACCCGCCGTACCCCAATGATCCGGCCTGGTAGCAACGCCGCTTCCGGTTGTCGACATTGCAGCCAGACAAAAGCTCCCAGGCCGACTCCGCTGAAGATCAAGAGAATAAGGACTGGAGCACTAGCCCAGGCATACTTTTCCCCGCCCCAGGATAGCGCCAGCAGGAAGCAGCAGATTGTAGAGGTGAACACGGCGTTGTCGACGATCTGAATCTGTTGGATGAAATGACTACACCGTGACAAGCCCTGTTCATGCGAGCGCGAAGAAGGAGGATACTTTGCATAGAACCATAAGATAGGACAGATGATTACACAACCGCAAATAGGGTTGATATAGAAACACCATCGCCAGGATGCCTTTTCTGTTAAAGTGCCACCAACTAAGGGCCCGAGGGAAACGGCTATTCCGGTCTGCGTAGAATAATCCCAACACGGTCAGTCGCTCGACGGGAACAGAGCCGTATGTCCACCAACTTTACTTTCTATTTGTCTTTTGGGCAACTCACAGTGGCGGTAATTGCTCCTGTTAGCAGAGGTCGCAGCTGGAGCGGAATGAGGTATGATAGAATCACAAGAGCTCCTGTGCCAATACCCGCGGAGCCAATGCCAGCGACGAGGCGTCCTACAATCAACATTGAGGAGCTCGACGCGGCACCACACACTACTGAGCCAATTTCAAAGATAGCGAGGGCGGACAGGAAGACAATCTTCTCATCGCCGTTGTGGTAGATCCTGGCAAAAATGAGCTGGAAGCAGCATGCTCCAAGCAGATATGCCGAGCTATACCAGGCGGAATCGCCCAGTGACTGAAATTGGTTGGTAATGGTGGGAATGGCCTGGTTATTGGAAGGTTAATGGATGGATTCAGCCACAGGATGTATGAGGCCTACCGTGCTGAGGATCGATTGGTCTAAGGACACGAGCAGCACAGCAAGGCACAGGGGCAGGGCGATAAAGAGCGACTGGGGCAACGAGACGACCCTGTTCAGCGACACATCCTACGGAAAGCTCTTCCATTAGCTGGGGCTCCCGGGCTTGACGCCGGCGGCTGACTTGGGAATGGTCGGTACCTGAACATCATCACTCTGGCCACTATCATGAGGATGATGAGCTTCTGCGACCATCGTCGAGGGTGGTGAAGATGAGGATTCTAAGCTCGGCAAGAAGTTTCAGAGGTTTTGGAACCTGGATTAGACTTGTAACCCTGCAGCGAGCTATGGCAACCCCGACGCCCGATCACCGATACCGACGACCGCCGACGACTGCCGACGATCCATGCTGGAGTCGGGTGGCACGTTGAGTGAAGGCGTTGGCTGACTAGCAAACTGGAACAGGAAACGAAAATGCTTAATATCAAAGCCTCCTGTTCAACAAAGCCTGGAGTATATCGGAATCTTCATCAGTCGATGGCCTCCATCTGAAAGGCTTCGAAACAGAGAGGAAAAGCAAAATGGGTTCTATCAGCAACAGCGTTGGTTCCAACTTCGAGGAGTTAGGTCACAGTCTCCAACATGCTATTACGGCCTATACCTCCTTCTTGAAGAAGGAAGGTATCCCAATGCCTTCCCTACTACCGCCATCGGCCACTACTCCACGACTGCGCAGCCAAAAAGAATTTGCCTTGCAGGCGGAGATTGTGCATAAGGCGCAGCAGATCACTGCCATGGCAATGGATGCCGAGATAAATCTCTTGATCTCTTCGCTGCAGTTTCATTTCTGCACATGCTTGAGAGTTGCCGTAGACCTGCGTATCCATGAACTGGTCCCTCGCGAAGGGACTATCTCAGTCGCAGCGCTTGCAAAGGCTACGGATGCGGATGAAGTTCTATTAGGTGAGGAGTGTGACATCCAAATCCGAGGCACTTTCGGACTTATTCGTGTCCTCAGTCAGGACGATGCGAGTACTCACCACAAGATACGTCTTCCTCGAGCCAGAGCCATTCCGTTATACCCACTCAGCCATGTCCAGCGTGCTATGCAAACAGTTCATGCCTGATCTCCTTTCCCACAGGTACCGAAACAACCCCATCCCCCGAACATAAAACCACATAGTTGCTTCAACCTCACTATTAATAAACCCTTCAGACTGAATGACGTCTTCCGATCTGCTAGCCGACATGCGGATGCTCTCGAGCAGATCAGGTACCGCGAGCCAGCTAAGGACGACGTGGTTGGGTTTAATCTGGCCTACTTTACCCCGTACAATTTTTGGGAATATATCCGGCGGGTGGAACCCAAGATGGGGGAGCGATTCGACCGCGCGATGCATGCCGTGAACATCAACACCATTGATGCTATCCCCTGGCTCTATCCCTTCGACACTCTCGCCGCTGCCGGCAACATCCTGGTAGATGTCGGCGGAGGGTTAGGACATGTCAGCAAGCAGATTCTTGCCGCCTACCCGGACAGCGGTCTGCAATGCATTGTGCAAGACGTCGTTGCCTTGTGCGAATCCGTCGATCGTGTGAATAACCTCAAACTGCAGTTGCATAGCTTTTTCGACCCCCAACCCGTCCGAGGTACGTTCTTTGTTGCCTCTCACAGCAAACCCGTTGGGGGAAGTCCCATGTCTAACAATTGGCTCAGGTGCTGCGGCTTACTTCTTTCGACACATCTTTCACGACTGGGCAGATGATGCTTGTGTCACGATTCTTCGGCGGACAGTTGATGCAATGGATGTAGAGCAGAGTAGGATCCTTATCTGCGATCAAATCATGGATGAGTTGAATCCCTCTGTCGCTTCAATGCTTTACGATATTGACATGATGTCCTTGTTTGGCGGTAAGGAGCGCAGCTTGGGCCAGTGGGAAGACTTGTTGATGCAGGCGGATCCCCGGCTCTACATCCGTCGTGTGTGGAAGAATGCAGCGACCTTGACAGTGATTATTGAAGTGCGTCTGAAAAACTCCAAATAATCTCGAATTTCAAATGTATTGCATGATTACCTACAATTCTTATCTTGTGTTCTGAAAAGTAATTTTTCGAAGTGATACTATACACACCCCACCCAGGCTCCGAGATTGATGGGCAGGTAGCAGCCTACCTAACTAGGTACAATGCAGGCTTCGTCAAGTTGAGGCCTCAGGCTCAAGTATTCAAGAAAACATTAAGTGTTCCCTGGACCAGTCCAGTGCAACTGGGTGTTTTGTAAGCAAAGGGTAGCGCGAATAGCCTTCCGAAAGATCCACCAAGTTTCATACACCTACCACATCTTACAATTCAAAGGGTTCAGCAGCTATTTTGCTGTTCATAATTTTATTTATGAATAATTGCCAACCCTAGTGCTGACCTATGGATCTACTCTACAACCCAAACGCATACATTGCCCAATCAAAGCATACAACGTCTTACAAAGACAAGATATGACAGAAGTAGTCAAATCCAACAAAAACCCTCCAATGATGACACTGATGGTTATAAATACAGTTTCATATGTCTTGATATCCCATGAACCATTCTCACAAGCATCCAATTTGCGGTCGACTGGCCGAAGTCGGTGGGATTATCGGTCATACAAGCACGTAGCTGCCATTAATCAAGATTTTATAGCATCTTGGGGTCTAAGCCTTGAAATAATCTGACTTATAATGGCCTGAAGGTTGACCAGGAAGGTATTTGTTTTAGTTGTGTTGTTTGACTGGTTTGCCTGCTCGACCACCTGTGTATGTTTATATGTATGCATTTCGCACATACACATGTCTTCTCCTTTTCTTTCTCTTTTTTGGGCTTGGGATCTTCTTCGGACAGCGCCAGTACTATAATCTCTTCATTCTCTTGCACGGCCATTACATGACATAGGTCCCAAGGGTCAGAACCTCGAACCCGAAGCTAAGGTTCTCGGGTTCTAAAATCTGGAACCTGAATTGGGTCGCGGACTCGTGGTCTTAACAAGTTGAAGCCAGGTTCGAACTGGACGGATCCTGATTTGCATAATTTCGCCAGTTTTTGCCTAATTCGGATGGATCTATCATCTAGGTTATGTACTACAATTTACTGCTGTTCTGAGCACTATTTTAGTAACTCGCGATATTACCGTGTCCTTTGTGGAATTATATGAAATTCGTGTGTACATAGAATACCCAGCCTAAGAGATTTATATCGAACAAGAATTAGTCTCATTAGGTTCTTAGTATTCAAATATTCAATTCTAGTAGTGGATGTGGTTGATGTGGTATATCAAGAATATATATCTTTGACTCGACTTATACTATACCCATTATCCTGATCAACATTTCTATTAATATATAGAGGCAGCCGTTAGGATGAAAGTCGCTACTTGGAAGCTTATATAAAAATACCTATATATTTTCAGGCTAATTCAAATTAACTGACTCTACATCTACTCTGTATTTTGCATGTTCATCCCCTGAACACAAGAAGACTATGACCGGGCAAAATCAGGTGGAAACAACTCATTATGTGAATCAAGGTGGGATTCCAGCCTGCCAGGTTGGAGTCCAGGTCAGGTTCTACACGGTCTCGAAGCTGATGGACCCTGTGGAACCTATCAATCTAACTATTGGGGGCCTCCCTGACCAATGTCACACACGCAGGTGGTGTAGTATTTACCTGTCTACTTCAATTCAATGCATCCTGCTGAATATAATTAAATTGGTTGTATACTCCGGACTAGCCTTTTGGGCAAAGCGCTATATAGCCGCCTAGAACTTCCCGATGGCGGAGTGGGATTGCTTACTAGAGATAATGAATAAAGACCATGCCTATTGGAAGCTACGGGTTATGAACCTCGTAGGGGTTTTAGTTGTGACAAAATCTGCCACATTAGACATAACAAGATGATTTAAACAGGGATTAGCGGAAATAAGCCGAATGAATATATTATTATGAATTACTTATGCTGATCAATGCGTTATTATGTGGCGGGGTATACAGCTCAACGACCGTGACCCAAATAATTAACTACTCTGTAAAGAAGTCTCTAAGGCGCTGGCAGAATTTTGGGAACCACTGGGGAATTAGCAAGGACTCCGATTCATCTAAATCTATCAGAAAAGTGGCTCTATTTATGATCAATCTTGACCGCCATTTCGGGGTCATTTCCGGAGCTCTGCGGTCCTGTATGATGTCTAGGAGCGAGGTGCAGGGACTGTTTGACTAAGGCAGTTTGTATGGGCGGTGAGGTCTCAGCACCCGATACGAGACGCCCTGGTTTGACAATCTCACTAAACTCGTTGGCTGTTGCTCCATTGCACGAGTTAGAGGGCGCCGCTTATACCCGACATACCGGCATATTAGAATACCTTTTATACCACACTTGAAGGCGTCTTTCTGTTATCCGGCTCTACACCCTATTGTACCTTGAACAAAAACCAGTCTATTCAGTGACCGGCTTCGAGACGAACGCATTTGATTCCTAAACAAGGAAAACGCATTCTCCGTACACGCTCCTCTTTAAGAAAGACCGGATTAAGGGTAATCAACAAATAATGAACGGCTATCTCATGGTGCACTGCGGGATGTTCTATAGGCTCAACGGGACGGAGAACTTGAAGACATTCGGAAAGGCTTTATCATTTCCGTGTAGGCAAGATGCCAGGCCGTGATTGAGGCAAAGTTGGCTCTGTTAGAAATAGCGTCAGTCTCCAGACGGCCGAGATTCACAACTTCTCAACCCTGGCATACCAACCGTATAAACAGATTACAGGGGCCAAAATTAACGTATGGAATAATAGCTTGTTGATTATCCTACTTGAAAAAACTTAGATTGTACCCCTGGATTAAAACATTATTAGATTATTGAGTTATATACTATAGCCTCTGAATAGTAACGTTTTCAACCATCGAGCGGTCCGTTTTCTCCGCACCCCCCATTAGGCTCGAAGCTCTCGACGAGGCGCCGGAGTTGGTTCCTCGGGCTGCTCATTGAAATACGTAATGCGTATGAAGCTGCTCAACGCGGGTTTGACCTTCCTGTACACGAAAGGGGGGATGAGGTGAGACATAATTCCGCTCCGGGAGTGACTATCCCTAATTACATCCATTGCTATATCCCGGACCGTAGCAATTATGGTACCGCTACTGCATTTGTTATGTTCTATAATGCCACAATCCGTTCCCACGAGGCGGGGCCGCCTGAGAAGTCACGGACTTTCTCTTGGTTTACCAACACAAATGGCCACTGTCTCATTTAGCTTTCTCCTACGTGTTACAGTACTGAAAATTTCGAGACATTAAAAACCTACTTCGTTGCCGTCTTTTCAGTACCACAGGCTCCCGCTTCCCAAGTGCTACCTGACTTATAAGTTCTAACAGTATATTCCGTTGTTCGATAGTGTGTTCAGCGGGATCTTACTGAATCACTTGACTTTTGCTTTGTTTATGCCCAATATGCGTTCCAAATCCAATAGCGAGCCCAGGATCTGCAGTCTTCAGGGTCATCCGATATCCTGCCGTACTACATGGGCGCTAAAGTAGTCTCGAACCTTACACCCCGCCCGCCGGTCCGTGAGTTATTAGTCACTCTATGGAACGGATGCGGCCGGCGGCTACTAAGTATCACTTACCACGATGGTCCGATCGTACTTTGCAAACCCATGCAGCTAGTATTCTTATAAGGTTAATAAGACCTGAACTAAAGGAAATCGCAACCATATGTAGTCTGACACGGTGCGTCTGCCTGCCTAATAAGCTTCAATCAAAGTGGGTGCGGAATTTTGCCACCAGGACTGTTGGAGCTTCCCGGGGACTATTCGTACTATAGACCTTGACACAGCTCTGAGCGGTCCCGTATGGGCTGAGCGAGGGCTCGCCGGTGGAGGCAGCCGGCTACAACGGGCGCCCCGTGCCGGCCCGGCGGGTTTCCAGATAGGGCAAACACAGGAAATCGCATTATTTGCGTGGATGTCTCTGTATTTCGGAGTATTTAATATATATATGGAGCCATGAGATAGAAAAAAGGGGCTTAGATAAATCAAACTCTAAATGAAGACTTACTCTATATCATGCCAGTAGTAATGAACGGAATCATTAGTCTCGCGTCTTGTACACTTCCGATCTCTCCCTGACATACGCTGCTGAGTGTTACTTAACCTACTTTGGCAATGGAATTTCTGCTTCGTTGGATTGCAGCTTGCTGAGCTTTTCCCTCTAGCTGGGATGCCACACTTCCTCGTATCTTTCTTGTGACACGTGCCCAAAGTCCCTGTGTCGTAGGCTGTTCTTGGATAAGCGTCATATTCTGCTTGTTATCACCATTAATAATGAGATCATCAAGATATCCTATGTCCTTTTCTTCATTTGCCTCTTTCTCTTCCCCCGAGAAAAGCTCGCTAATTGATACGAGTTATCTCCCCTAGATATCAAATCTCGATACACATAAAATTACAACGCGATTACTTGTCAGTGGGTAAAGATAGTGAAGAGATCCAACTAGCTCTCCCGGTAAAGTCATGGTGAGATGCCGTCCATAGGCTGGCGAAGACATCGGAATATACACAACTTTGCGATGGACATACCATGCCGGTAATTGATTGCAATGATAATAGCTGGATTGATGGGGTGAGGGTATGAATGGTATTAAAGTGGATAACTGACTTGGCTAATATTCATCACTAGCAGTATGGGCATGTACCTGAGCAAGCACGTAGCAGCTGAATTAACTACCCAATAAGCAACTACCTGTAATGACTTGATCGCGCGGTAGACTGATCGCAATGATCAACTTCCACCCACCATTCTATCAAAAAACCACATTTCACGCCCCTAGAACGACAGGATAAAAAAAAAAACTGATTCCAAGCAGGCTATTCAACGTAACGTAAAATGGAAGTTGTCTAGTGAACTCGGGTTATAGTATCAATCAAAATCTCGTCTTTTTGACCCCGGACGTCGTAAAATAGTTTCATGAGAGGGAACATCCGAGTATAGCTAGCCCAGCTGGCTAAACGAGAGTTGGATACTGGTAAATATATTCTCTAGATGGTTGAACGCCACCGTTAGAATATCCAGCTCCGATTCCTGTTTTTCTGGGTTCCGCCGGACCTGCTCAATCCGCTCTGACAAGGTCTGCAGGCTGCTTTTTACTTGGCCTTCAATATTCTGAAGTGCCAACTGGGACAACATGCGGTTGTGGGAGGCGAGGTCCAGCCTCACATCCCCAATGTAGATAGTAAAGACCGTGTCGGCCGATGAGGCTGTTATAGGCTCAATTCCACATGGGATGGAAGGGGGGCTTGTTCGGTGATTCCTCGAGAGCAATCTTTGCCCAGCATGAGTGAGTATTATGAGCGCATAACTCAACAGGTTGGTGGTGAGGAGAAGGCAGTCGGTTCGCACCCGGCAGCGCTCACACTGCATCATGTTCTTCGTTAGGGTAAGGGCCCGATCGAGGAGGGAGACGAGCACAACGAGGGAAACGGACTCTTGCTGGCCGCATAGTGTGTGTTGGATATCCCGCATAACGGTCAGGGTGCCTAGCGCGCAAGAGATATGTGGTTGATCTTGGCTGTGACGCTGCGTGCTCACAGGGGACTGATTGCTCCCGCCGTTGCGGATTTCGGTGGCGTCCCCGAGTGTTACCTTGGGGAGAGGTGTCATTAGATCGATGGGAGGAAGTGTGTCATACATGCTGGCGGTGCTGTTCAAATCCGAGAGATGGGTGGTAGCTTCTTCGATTGGTAAACTCCCCGCTACATTGCCTAGCCAGTCCTCAGCGCTAGTAAGGGCAGGCAGCAGAGATGGCAAGCTCGGACAGTTTGAACCGTTGGTTGTGAGAGCTTCACTGTCAGCCGAAGCCGAGCCTGCGGTCATACAATCTATGTTGAGCCCTATTAGTACGGTATACGCCGCAAAATGGATTTAGTCACGACTGAAGCAAGCCAAATATATATATATAAGAGGGAGAGAGGGCCAATAATGAGAGAATGCAAATAGGGAGAATCTTATCGAAATGGCACTCATACATTGATTGGCCTCAGAAGATGGGGAGGAGAACATTTGGGCTTTATCCACGTTCCGGGCGCGGGGTGCCCGTATCCCGGGCCGATTTGAGGGGCTATAGGTGCACTCGATACCATGCCCAGCACATCGTGAGCAGGGAGACGTCCCAGAGCACCGAACCTTGGACCGGTGGCAAGTATCGCATGCATTCCGGAGTTTTCGATGGGACATGGTCTTATGGGGGTTTGGGATCAGGAACAGAAAACGAGGTGGAAAATGTATGGTTTTTATCTGAATGGTGACAGCGAAACGAAGGTGGCATTGGAAGCCCATATATAAACATACTTAGCCGCCTCCATATACCCTCTTTTGGATATGAAACTGCGGGGATCTGTAGAGAAGTGGTGTTTTACCGCTAAAAGGTAGATCATAGTCAGATTTGCACTGTTCACCAGAAATTCATCCAGCTCCTATCACAGGAATAATACCTCAAACATTTTACCAGGCTGCATGAAAGAAAGACCCAGCCGTCAAGCCGCAGTAGCGGACGAGCTTGAAGGATTCTAGTCCTGTACTAGTATTCTTCGCCTTCAGATGCCTTTTCGAAGAGAGCCCGGCTAGGCCGGGCCGTGATTGGGTCAGAGTTCGCCCACATTTGTGTCTACGCAACTATGTCGGCATAAAACTGACAGGGATGTTCATCTTTCCTTGTAAATAGCAAGGCAACAACTTTTGCATCATTGGTACTCGCTACTTTGTATGTAGGATTCCGGCGGTTCCGAAGTGTCCAGATCTGAAAAGTACCTTACTCCAGAGTAGTAGATAAAGTTTATTGCTATAATTCAAGCAGGGTATCGACCCGCGCCGCAGCCCTGGGCTATTATATATGTATACGGAGTATTATAAATCTTGAAAAAAATAAGAAAATGTATCGTTCAACAGCCTCTCATTTACATGCTTTGGAAGACTAGGTACAGCAGGCATTGTTGGTCTCTACAGATTAGGAAGCATGTAGGTGCCTTAATAATTCAGACACAGCATAGTAACAAACCACCTGAAGGCGACAGCGATCAATGTCAAATCATCAAATCTTCATGAGCCTCCAGTTTGCTCTTCTTCTGGCCATTGCATGGTAAGCTCATGGTGGATCAACGTGGCGGCGGCATTACCCGTGAAGACCGCACTTGTCACCGACTTAAACTGCTGAGAGGCATCCCCGGCCACGAAGAGACTTCTTACGCTAGTGCGCCCGCCCAGTTCCGTGGCCAAATTCCCGCCATCATCGAAGCCCACCCCAAGTTGGGTGGCCAAAGCTGCGCTGTTGGGCAGTGTGGGCGCAACGTGCAGCACCGCGTCAACTGTCATTGCTTCCCCTTGTCGAAAGGTCACGCGTACCCCTGATCGTTCCTCATCAGTGTTTGTTCCAGTCACCGCAAGTACCTCGCGATGATCAATGGTCACCCGAAACCTCCCCAGTCTCTCTTCCTCCTCTTTCGCCACCAGTCCGCCATTGGTCAGTAGTGCTCGGTCTGGAAAGAGGGACGCTGCGAGCAAGGACATGGTTTTAGCGGCCTCATCATCTCCCAGAATAGCCAATCGCGGCCCTCGACACTCATAGCCATGACAATAGATGCAGTCGAAGATTCTACTTCCCCAGAGTTCGGCGAATCCGTCGATATTGGGGAGCAAATCCGCAACTCCTGTCGCCATCAACACTTTGTAGGCGACGTATGTGTTCCCCGCCGTATCCTTGGCGATGAATCTGTCAACATGGGTGCCCCTGACCTCGTCACGTTGGGCCACCCGCTCGAGGGAAACGACCTCATTGTCTGGACCCACCCTGACTTGCACCGTTGGATAAGCGGCAATTTCGCGGCGGGCATCTTCGAGGTATGCTGTCGGTGTCTTCCCGTCGTTCGTCGGTACCGTCTGCATCGCGACGGCCTGCTCGTTTCGATACCGTCCCATATCTAGAATTAGGGTCCGGCGTTGAACGCGTCCGAGGGTCAGACCAGCGGCGAGGCCACTGGGACCGCCCCCAATAATGAGGACCTCAAAAGGAAATTTAGATCCCTCCGTTGGGGTCATCTCGAGGTAGAAAGAGTGAGTTGAGCTCAAGGCGGAATATCTGAAAAACAAAGATTGTTGCTGGCGTCCTTATGTCCACTTGGTCGTCTACTTTCATTGAAGAGTGAAGGCAAAATGCTCACTGAGAACCAGGCTTCCTGTCTATATTGTACATACGAGTAGAGAAGACGCAGTATATCGTCCCATAATTTGTCTCTCTATTGTATTCATTTGTTCCATTGATATATATTACTGTTATATCTCTTCCCGCCAATGCTGCCATTCCACCGAACTTCAGTCGCTCGGCGAAATACATGTCTCGAAGATCTGACCAACGCCGATCGCCGAAAATCATCGCCGACGAACTCATCTTATGCTCTGTGCCTATCATTACGTGCTCGCCAAGAAGGAATCCTAGACAGTGCTGGCTCTCGGGATACTCCTCTCATTCGAACTTGTTCACCATTTCGATCGCAAAAGAAGCAAAAACCACAGCCAAATAACAAAGATGGCATTTGAACTCGCCCAGAAACCCATCAGCCGTTTAAGGCGCTACAGATTGCTCGCCCCTTCAGCCGGGCTTAGAGTCAGCCCTCTGGGGCTGGGGAGCATGGCGTTCGGAGAGAAATGGTAAATATTGATCCCTTCGGAATATTATCGGTCTCATAGGTTGCTCGATAGGAGTGCGGTTCTTGGGAAATGCGAGAAACCAACTGTCTTCGAAATCTTGGACTTCTTCTATGAGCAAGGGGGGAACTTTATTGATACGTATGTGAATACCTAGGTCATGAATTTGGTGATTTCGTGCACTAACCCCCGCTGGCTATGTCCTTAGCGCCAATAATTATCAAGAAGGAGAATCCGAGGCTTGGATCGGTGAATGGATGGTGGCTCGCAGCAATCGAGAAGAACTTATAATCGCCACCAAATACTCGTCTGCCTACACACAGGACGGAAGTGAATCGACTATCCGGGCCAATCGTGGAGGAAATGCCACCAAGAGCATGGTGCAGTCACTGGAGAAGAGTCTCCAGCGACTCCAAACCAGATACGTGGACATAGTCAGTGTGACACCATTAAGAAGGCCAACAGAACAAGACGAAAAGCTGATTGTGTGGCCAGCTCTACGTGCATTACTGGGACTTTACGACCTCTATTCCTGAGCTGATGCAGTCCCTGAATCATTTGGTTGCCAGTGGGAAGGTGCTGTATCTGGGTGTCAGTGATACCCCAGCTTGGATTGTAGTCAAAGCGAATGAGTGTATACTGCGAAATACCCTTTCCGTTCCTTTTAGATTATCTTTAAGGAGTGAACTTCTGACTGATTAAGAGCAGATGCCCGTCACCATGGGTTGCGGCAGTTCAGCATGTATCAGGGTCGATGGTCAGCTGCCCAGCGTGACATGGAAACGGACATTGTTCCCATGTGCCAAGCCGAAGGCATGGCCATTGTGCCGTGGGGTACTCTAGGGGGTGGGAAGCTCAAGCACCCTCGCGATCACGACCCTACTCAGGGACGCCAATTCCCGGACCCTCCAAAGGAGATGCGGAAGATCGGAGAGAAGATCCGGAATCTTGCTGAGCAGATGAAGACTCACCCGACAGCACTGGCCTTGGCGTACATTATGAGTAAAGCCCCCTACACCTTTCCCATCGTTGGTGTGCGAACTGTGGAACAGTTGAAACAGAACCTGCAGGCGTTGGAGCTGCAGATTGACGAAGGAACTGTCCGGGCTATTGACCAATGTGTCCCATTTGACACACGATTTCCTCTGAGTTTCCTGGCTGGGGAGAATATCAAGGGCGCTTTCGGGCCTGAGGATGTGTACTTCACCAAGGAGTGCGGAACCTTTGATTTTCCGGCACGACCCAGGGTAAGTATTCGCTGTTCAGGAACATATATAAATGTGATTATGCATAATAACCGTTGTAACAACACCAGGCTATTCCAAATTATCGGGAGGAGACAGGAGACGTCTAATGATTGGGTGTCTATATATGAAGATTGTAGCGGGGGAACAGCAGAGGATTAATTCTTTCCCTTTGCCTATTAGGCTTGTTTGTTTTTCTGGGCCCTAAGTTGTATCTGCGTCTCTTTAGAGGCAGACCTTGGATATGAATCAACACTTTTCTCTACCCTAACCAAGACTACTCGGTTGGTTCGTCCAAGAAATCCGACCCGAACCCATCCTGAAAATTTGCGGGTCGGGCCGCGTTATACGGAGTAAGGCTAGGCCTAGACTAGATCGGGTCGAGTTAAAGGAGGGTGGGTCGGGTATGGGATGATGTGCGGGTCGTGTTCGCAAGATCAAAAATTTGAAGTCGACTACTGTGTTATGTCAACTTGCCGGCCAACGAGAGAAGTCAGCTATTTTCAGCCCCTTGAGGTGTCTTATCGTCCTCTGCTCTTATCCCTAGATGACGATGACGTATCTTCAGGAGGTAGCCGAGTGCCGTATGCCTGGATTTACACCAGATACCCCATGTCAAAACAAGCCGTATTCTCTCGCTTCGCTCGGCGGCTTGTAGTTATTTGCGGGCCAATTAGTCATGTAATAGGGGGTAGGTCTATAGGCATACTACCTGTTATACCGCCTACTAAATACCTACATATATAACTACCTCCTTAACCACCTGCGCTAACCATTAAATATACCGCATTTCCAGGTGCTTCCTATCAGATGACCCCGCGATGGTAATTTTTGGCTTGTTTTTTTGAGCGTACTTTCCACTAAGCTCTCTATTCCTTCCGTATGGAATAGAAAAAGATCATGCTCCGCAAGCCCAGCTGTCTATGGATATGCTAGAAGTTCGCATATTCTACTGTTCGATGTGCAATGGCTTGTTTTCCGCCTAGACTTAGAGCTTCAACAACATCGGAACCCTGTCAAAATTTGATTGAATATAGAATATCCCATGCTAAATCTTAATTACTAGTTATACTTTCTATATTTTCTTCCATCCGCGTGAAAATGTTGCCTAAAGTTAGAGAGTTTGCGAGGTTTTTGGAGCATCGAGATTACATAAGCAATTTGCTCGAGCCGAGGTGGTAAGCCACCTGCTTAATTAGGACTAGCGTCCTACGCGCCTACATTGTTTTGTATGATAAGAGCTGGTCATCTTCATCTTCCATTCCTCCAAGCAAGCATTTTTCCTCCTGGTCACTTTGACAATATCTTACCGCTTACTTTTTTGTATTTTTGCCCTCCCTCGGATGGAACTAACGCAACAAACCTAATATTCAAGGCAACAAAGGAAGAAGTAAAGCTAAAGGGATATATATATATATATGACCACTAGCTATAACAGTATATACAAATGCTTTCTGGTTATCAAAGACAATTGGTATAAACGGAAGCTAGATAAGACTGTTTTAGACATATGGTAAGGCGGATCCTTATATCCGTTTGATGCTATACTCGGTAGAAGTGGCAGCCTGTTAGACCGATACTGTGGTAGCTGGTGTGCGATCAAGGCGATCGCTTGATTTGAGTGTACATGGGAGACCGATACAACATTTTGGAGGCAGAAACCGTCTTAAATTCCCTCTCACAGCTGATTCATAATACTAGAGGATTCGTCTTTACTTCTATTGCACTCGGCGAACTCGTACTGTCTGATTTCGGCCCGGCATGCCGGATTGCAGTAATTCGACAGCCATTATTAACGCAAAAAGCGATGGTCTCTGTCCCATTTTGACAAGCGACCAATACCCACATAACGACAGCCGAGGCTTTCCAAATATTGAGCACTAAGGAAGTTTCTTCCATCAAATATAAACGCAGGTCGAACCATATTCTCCACGATAGAAGGCCAATTAATACGCTCCTTCCCAACTTCTGGATAGACACCATCGCTTTGAATATCGTTGATGTGTAAGTCATTCGTGCAGACCTCCCCATTAGCCTTGTACGGCGCTTCGCAACCATCCGGAGTCATGAATTGGTGCCAGGCGGTGGCCACCACGATGGCTTCGACACCAGCACACGCCTCTCCGGCAGTGGAAAAAATTCGTAATCGTTTGGACTCCTCTTCCGATGGATTTACGTCTTTGTAAATCTGGTCTTCAGAGACCATTGGGTCATATACACAGATTGTCGCACCCTCTCTCAATAGCTGACAGGCCAGATTCTTGGACGGAGAATTCTTGGTGTCCGACGTATTCGGCTTGAATGCAAAACCGAGAATGGCAATTGACTTCCCGTTGACGCAGCCATGCATACAACTGAGAATACGGTGGGCAAATCGGCTCTGCTGGGCTCGGTTCATATCTAAAACGGCAGCCCAATAATTTGCGACAGAGTCGAGCCCCAGGCTTCGCGCGAGATACACCAAGGCCGCTACATCCTTGGGGAAGCAACTTCCACCCCACCCTAGTCCACTCTGCAGCATTTTATTGCCGATACGAGGATCGGCTCCCACCCCCTCTGCAACGGAATTGATGTCGGCGCCCACTGCCTCACAAATCGCGCTCAATGAGTTGATGCTGCTGATTCGTTGTGCCAGCAGTGCATTGGATGCCAACTTGGAAAGCTCGGCCGACCATTGATCCATAGTAATAATGAGCTCGCGCGGAACCCATCTTTTATATAGGGCAGCTAATTTCTCTGCCGCTTGTCGACTTGACTTCGTCTGCTGGCATCCGATTATCACCCGTGGAGGACGTGTAAGATCGGCCACTGCGCTACCTTCTGAAAGGAATTCGGGGTTAGAGAGGACTTCAAAAACTGGTCTTTCCCTGGACGTTGACTCAAGCTATCATTCACTATTAATAATACACCTATGGGACGTAAAGCAAAGGGGCTCACCAAGTCCTGTATCGTTGATGCAGTACCTCCAGGCACCGTTGATTTCTCAACAATGACCTTATCTGTTGTGGCTACTTCGGCAATCGTGCGTACAGCCTCTTGGACGTGAGCTAAATCCAAAGCCATGCCTCTTCCGGTTCCGTGAGATTTAGTCGGCGTATCTATGCATAGCATGATGAAATCTGCATCCCCAATCGCTTTTCTGACGTCACAAGAAAACGTGAGGTTGCAGGTATCTTTCCGTTGTCGTACTTGAGCTATAAGTTCACTGAGGCCAGGCTCGTACATTGGCAAATCATCTGAGTTCCATGACTCAATTCTGGCCGGATTTTTGTCAACAACGGTAACTGTAATCTCTGGGCATTGGAAGGCAAGCACGGCGCCCAATGGACCACCTAAGAGTGTGATGAGTGCTGTAGCTGTTCTTTTCGATAACAGGGTTTACCTACCGACAAATCCGGCCCCAATACAAGTGATTTTCCGGATCATGATAGTTCCTATACTGAGGTATATCGACTGATAGTACTCATGGACGATGGTCATATAAAGGGCGTAGAATGGAGTCTCGACACTCAAGATGGAAACGAAGCGAAGGGCAATTCGTGCGGTCGGTTCCCCTCTGCCGCTTCGGTCTTGCCGTAGGCCCAGCAGCGCAGGCGACTGAACTCCAGCCAGCCACTCGGCAAACCTGCATCTTCATCTAATTGGTCTGAGATTTTGTTGAGTGAGCAGGTGGGCGACTGAATCGGTGTTCATGCAGACTAAATCTTAGCAAGGCGCGTAGCTGAACCCGGCGGTGTCAGATTCCAAAGGCCGATGCAGCTACCACAATTAAACTTTTCGTGCAACTAAGATAAGTCTTGATATCGTGGCACCTGTAAGCTCAGCTGAGTACATCTCGCCTATCACCCTTGTTATATGCCCAATGGGACTTGGGCTACCCCATGATGGCATCATCCTCTTTGGGGAATAAATCTAGTTCTGCAGCCATTCGTCTAATCGGAACAATTGTCTAGATGGTCTCATCTATAAATATAATAAATTTGAAGGCCATTACGTGGTGATTAGTTACCTTCCGGAAAGAAAATTTGCTTTAGCGTTTCATAATCTGGCGACAACCCATCGATTGGTATGCACCATGCATAGCCCGATGGTGGGCCTGTGAGCCAACGTAGTGCAAGTTTCGATGCATTATATTATTACGGAGTACATGGCAAAGCCAAAGAAATGTGTCTTACATACCGATAAATTAACTCGCAAACAAAACCATCGGTGTTCACCTTAACTTCAAAAAAGAAACACGCCATAAGGAAAGGAATGAGTAGGCAAAATGAACGTGTTATGTACCTTGCTCAATATGCCACTTAATAGTTCTCTTCAATCCCTCTTCTAGGGCCACCTCGGGTTCCCATTCTAAAATCGCTCTCGCCCGCGTGATGTCGGGTTGTCTCCTATTCGGATCATCAGAAGGTCGTGGGCAGTAAATGATGGGCACTCTAGGCTTCCCCATCTCAGCGACCATCTCGACGACAATCTCTGCTAATTCGCGGATTGTAAACTCCCTCGGGTTACCAATATTCACAGGAAGAGTGCAATTGCTGTTCATGAGCCGATATAATCCCTCGACACAGTCACTGACGTACTGAAATGAACGAGTCGCCGTGCCATCGCCAGTGATCTTGATCTCATTACCGGCAAGAGCCTCGCCGATAAAACTGGATACAACTCGGCCATCACTATGGGCCATTCGAGGTCCGTATGTATTGAAGATACGGGCAATGCGGATCTGCAAACGGGGATATCTCATCTGATATGCGTAGCAGAGTGCTTCAGCGACTCGCTTGCCTTCATCGTAGCAGGAGCGGGCTCCAAATGGGTTAACATGACCCCAGTAGTCCTCTGGTTGAGGATGCACTTGTGGATCACCGTATACCTCTGACGATTGTTGTTCAGTCTTCGAAATCAAAAAGTATCTAGGTATGACGAACCGGATGTGCTTGTGTGGAGAATGCGAGTGTTTCTTTTCACCGCAAGCTCCAAGATGTTTTCCGTGCCTTGGAAGCAGGTTCTGAGGGTAGAAATAGGGTCATTCTGGTAGTGAATTGGACTCGCAGGACAGGCCAAGTTGAAGATTTGATCTATTTTTCCGATTCTTAAACCTTCAAGTGGGCTCTGAATATTATGGCTGACTCGGTCAGCAAGCACATCATACATATCCCTAGAATAGAATTTACCTGAAGAACGTGAATTTGGGGTTTTGCTCTAAATGCTTCAAATTTGCAACCGATCCAGTTTGAAAATTATCGATGCCGATTACCTCATGGCCTTTTTGTAGCAGGAAATCTACTAGATGGGATCCGAGAAAGCCAGCAGCCTGAAGCTTAGTATCTCATGAAAACGGTAGGTAGAAGGACATACTCCAGTGACCAAGACTCTCAAGGGTACGGAATAATTCGATGCAGCCATGGTGTCCGCCTTTCCCGCCAACGAAGGAAGAACAAGAACAAGCACACAATAGAAGGGAAGCACTTGGCAATGTCTGCACGATGGCTGCTCGCGGAGTGGGAGATAGTGGTATAATTTTCCGGAGTGAGTCCAAATGTGGATATGAGGGCAGCGGAGATCTTAAATGCTGACCTGCACCAGAATGTGCGTGTTGAAGGGCACGAAATCAACTCTACTGCAATTGATCAACATAGGCCTGCCGATGAACTGTTCAATACCTTGTAGCATACCCACCCGCATTGTTTACTGCAATGCCAGGGCTACTCGTAAAGCCAATGGGGGACCGAATTGGGATAATCTAGGGATACGCCTGCTACCTATCTAGGTAGGAAGAAAAGCCGTATGTACAGGGTATCACAACGAACCCACTAGCGGGGCCCGAGGGAGCCTGTGTGCCAACGTGGCAATACATGTACAGCAACTGACACGAGTCGCGCAGACCCTGTGGGTGATTGGCACTTGGCGGCCTACCAGTTCCCTGCTGTGCTTGAAATGAACCCGGCTGTTTCGTTTTCTGCCTAGGCGCTCCAATGGCGCATGCCGCATGTTCTCTCCTCTATTGAATAGGAAACGTAACCTTCCAGAACCAAGAGGCCGCCAAGGCACGATGCACCAACCCTAAAGTTTATTCTGTAAATGGAGTTATCCCTTGCTAAGTGGTCATGGACATGCGGTCAGATACGATGATAGCATAGTGCGTCCAATAGCCTGAGGTGGAGACGTGTGGACACGTTACGGAGGCGGCACTGACAATCTCTGATTTCGAGATTTGAGATCGGGCACTCTCATCAGTAATGTATGCTCCCTGTTCCAAACCTAGCGCGAACTGTTTATCGGCTCTGGCTCCTAACTGTCCCTTCAATCTTGGCAGGTGGCTGCTTAGCACGCTTCACGGTCTGTCTAGATAGCTGAAGATGGCCGCATCCAAGCTGATCAGTGCGGGGTACCCACCCCCGTCTTTTGTGGGTCTTTGCGATCAGATTTGGTGACCGACCCGCTTCAGCCCCATACCAAGCTAACGAAATTACCTGGATACACCGGGGTGTATACCTCTGAATGTGAACAGTGCAGATCCCTAATACTCCAGCCTGTCGACAATTCGCCTAGTGACCGTGAGTGCGCTATTCCCACCATGGCTCTCGACAGCTGACGGAGAAGTTGGTTGCCTCTCTTTAAGCCTTCAAGCGAGGATCATCCCTATGTTGGTGTAGATATAAGTTCTCTTTTCTCCCAAATGCGGATTTACTATTTGACGAAGCGCAAACAGTAACATACGCTTCAACAAAGGTTGGTATACTAACAGAACAAATCTTTGGAGATATCCCTAACTTCATCCAGGTGGTCCTGAATGATAATGTGAGTGCTGTAATGTATTGTGATAGGAGGTGCTAACGTGTTTAGGGCAATTACCCATTTGACGGCGACTTCGTGCCCTATATCCCCGAGAGATCAGACAGTAATTCGGATCTGATTTACGGAATTCAATACACCGCCATCTGTCCCCTTGGCATCCTCCTATATCGAATGGTGAAGCTGAAGAGAAACGGCGTACTCAATCATCTGGAGTTGATGCGTGCACTAGATAACCATAAATGCATATACCTACGAGTCGAATACGTTGGGTTCAACCCTGGATGAGGATCCGTCCTTCTCCTTCTCCTCTACAGATAACGAGCGTAGGGATGAAGGAAGATACGGTGTCATTACCTTCTAACCGCGGATAAAACTGATCGATGGAAGATCTCTATATGGATACGGGCTTATGAGGACTCCTCGACCACTGGCAAATTCGAGCTCGACAGCGATGGCTTTATAACTTACTTGATTGATAGTGCGGGCGAATGATCAGATTCCGATGACCTGCCCTTCGAAACAAATACCATTCTTGTCTTCTTGCACGTTGTTGATACCTCGGCAGAAGCGGCTTGGGATAGAGAGGAGCTCGCGGTACGTTGGCTGAACATGTCTCTTTCTATCCAGGGATCATCTAAATCTGATATCCCAGTGAAGGTGTGTTTTCTGAAAGTAGGATTCGAGCTGAACGATAAGAAGAGTATTTACCTAAGTAAGTTTTGTCACTTACATTAGATAACGCCCTGGCAGGTATTAATCAATACCTGATCATTACTGACACGGAAACCACACGCATCGACCTGGGCCTGGACTAATACGAGTTTCAACAATGGCGTGAAAACAACGAGACCGAAGCTACTACAGGGTCGATGCAAAAGGCCGCCGTTGATGCAAAAGAACCACGCTGAATATAACAGCCAAGAGAACTCAGCAGGCAGTAATTTTCATGACCTATATAAGGCCACACTTCGCAAGACTAGCTGAAGACACAGCAATCTAGGCAGAAACTTCCTTACCTACTACCTCCCCCCGGCCTCTTCCACGGCCCGCATACATAGCTGCCGATCGATGCGCACGCTCTTCTGTGACCCTCTCTAGTACTTGCCTCGGTGTCTCGCCGGCTGCGTTGACCACTTCTTCAGAGGCTCCAGCACCTAGTAGGATTTGAATAATCGCATTTCGTTTGTGATCCAGTGCTTGTTTGAGGCGTCCAGTAATCTCTTCGCGATTTCCTCGTTCTTCCATTGGCTTGATGATTGTGCCCTTCATTACTTCATGGAGTGGGGTATTCCCTTTGAGGTCGACGGCATTGACATCTGCACCACGACTCACTAAGTAGCGAACAGCGTCCACTTGGTCCAGATTTCTGACTAGGTAGTGAAGCGCCGTGCAACCCAAGTCGTCTGTTTCGTTGATTTGGAGATGGTCCAGCAGCTGGTTCACCATAGATGAAGCGGTGATAGACTCACACCGACTCACGCTGCACAGTCCATGCAGCGCATTCCGTCCAAGGGAGTCACATGCCCGTGGATCGGCTCCATGTTTGAGGAGCATATCTATTATCTCTGAGACAGCCTGCAGACTACCAGGAGCCCATTGGTGTTGCTTTATTACTTCTCCAAGCGCCGTCGTACCAACATCGTCCCGTAAGTTCAGGGTGTCCGGAAGCCGAGCGGCGTGTAGAAGGAGCCTCAGAGCGCCGATGTTCGCGCCGCGACCGGTGTTGTTCTTGACCGCGTAGTGAAAAGCGGTGGCGCCATGCTGATCACTCGCATTGACGGTGTCTGGTCTGATATCAAGAAGCAATTTGACGGTGCCGGTCATCCGCAACGAGATGGCATCTGAGTTGTCGGAGTCTGTATAATTGCCGGAAACACCCGCCAGGGCCCAGTGGAGTGGCAGCCTGCCGAAGCTATCGGGTACAGCGACCATATCCTCTACCGTGACATCGCCACGGTGATCGATGAGAGCCCGAATCGCGTCCATGTTCCAGGAAAGAGCGGCCGTATGCAAAGGGGTTACATCATGTCCGTCCGTGATCCCGAAGAAAAACCCGCCATGCCAGACCTGGCGGCCGTGCACGTCCGCGCCCGCCTCCCGCACTCCCCCTGCAACGCTCGTGACGTACCCTCTCCCCCCTCGGTCTCTCTCTTCTACGCCCCCAACCTTGCTTACAACCTCTGTTCACCACCTGTTCGTTACCCAAATCACCCGTTTCTTGACCGATTGCATTCTCCAACTTCTTTTCCTGACCCCCTCGGAACCCTCCTGTACAATATCTTCGTCCCCGCTTCGCTCCGGTCTCGCGCTCTTGAAGCAGCGGTGTCTGATCATTGTGAATGTACAGGGCGGGAGCCAATTTCTCCGGGATATCGGGGAATGATCCGAATGCATTGCGCTGGGACAAGGCTGGGTATTTGTCTCTGATGCAGCTCATTGATAGCGGCGCCGAGGAAGCAAAGTACGGGTGACTCGAGCCCAGCCTGCTTCACTGTCTCGAGAAGTTCACCAGTGAGAATATACACACTTCTCCATTCCGAATATTTCGATTCCTGCAACATTGAGTTAGAACCTCCCCTCTAAACTGCCCTTGGGAAATGAACCGAACATACCCGGAGCTTGGATCCACGATGACGAGGCCGATGGAGAGAGAGAGTGGAGGAGATTGGGGGACCCAGTCGATAAATGTCCATCCCGAATGAAGCTCTGCAGAAGGTGAACAGCACTCGATGCCTCGCATCGGTCCATGAAAATAGAAGCTAACCCTCGACAACTACCAGATTCTGCAAGAAATCGAAGCCCGCATCATCACCTCGCAGCAGCAGATCGGCGTGACCAAGGCGCAGATGACTGCCAAACAAAGAGCCACCGAGAATCCAGCAGAGACCCCAGCCGAAAACCCAGCAGAGACTCCGGCTGAAAATACAGAGCCTGCACAGACTCCAGACGCTGGAGACTCTGAAACAGCAGTAGACCACACTGAAGCACCTAGTACAATATTTCCGACGGCTGTTTGACCATGTGCAATTAGTCGGGAAACCAAGTCGTAACCTGCATAGCTGACCGCATCGCCAAGAACCGTCCCTCTCGGCATCGGAACACAGTCCGAGTCATCCTGCTCGCCTGCTTGGGGACACTCTAAAAGCCAGCGAATAAATGACTCAATGCGGTCGCACCGCTGCTGCGCAGTTGGGCGATCTTTGGGCTTTGCCTCCCACGCCACATTACCCGCTTCTCTCAGCGCCTCAGCAGCCCGTGAGAGGGCTGTTTGACCCTCGAAGTCGTGATCGTGCAGCTTCCCCAGCGGTTGATCATGGCTCATCAGCCACGAGACCATGCCTCGGTTCGCCGTCGCGCAAGCCGCTATCACGGGAGAGACGTGGAAGCGTGCAAGGTAGTCCTCCAGGGGCTCTGTGAGCGCTGCATCCGAAAGATAGATCCGACAGAGCTCGCGCAGGACATCAAAACTATCATTCTGGATTGCAATGTGGAATGGACAGCTGTCATTAAACTCATATGCTTTCCAGAAGACACTGGTGTGCGTACACGCATTGTACGAGTTTAAAGCCGCCATGTCATTCTGTCGAATGATACTGCAAAGCAGGCCTTGGTTAGGGTGCTCATACACCGGAGATGCATCTGAATCATGGAAGACAAGCAATGCATTCGAACGATCAGCTGGGCCATGGAAGTAAGTATATGCCATGTGAAGACTGATGCAGGGCAGAGTGGGGGGGCGATAGTGAAAGCCACACGGGAAGTCACTGGGAGGTTGTATGGTGTGTGAATTGAATTGATTAAATAATTCCTGCCCACTGTTACTTAGAGCATCAGGATTGCGATACAATGACACTACTTGCTTAAAGATGAGTGGCAGAGACCATCCGTCGTAGGCGGCGTGGTGTGCAGTCCAAATAAAGAGTAGTCGGCTTGTCCTCTTTGCGCACTAGTGCATGTTTCATCAGCGGGGCTCGGAAGCCGCCAACTGTTTCCCGCTTGTGGTGTTCCTTTCTTAGGAGTACTTGGTATGTCTCTTCCCTAGGTAGATGTATGATACGGGTGCGCAGAACTATCTGGGCTCGAACTTCAAATTCATGACAGAGGGTTCTCTACATACGGAGTGGGAAAGACATGGATGCTCGAGCTTTAGCAGGGCTGGCCATACCGAAAATGTAATCACTACACAATTGCAGACTGCGAGTAAACATGATCATCTGCCATCCCCAACCCAGGCCGACCGATTCTCCTGCGCAAAGAGATCGAAGGACCTCGGAGGTCGCCCAGTGACTTTTTCAACTTCATCATTCTCCCGCGTCTCGAACCCAGTCGAGGCAGCAACCTCCAGCTTTGTCAAGAAGGCCGCATAGTACTCGGAAACCCCCGCGCTTACCAGCCCCTGGTACCGCGACTCTCCTGAAAGTTTTACGTGCTCGATCTTTCGTCCCAGAACACGGCTTAGCTTTTCAGCAATGTCGTCGTACGTCAAGAGCTCGGGTCCCAGCACCCGGTGGTCACAGTTGTGTGAGTCGGGATCAGTCAAGGCGCGATAGGCGACGGCCGCGATATCCGTGGCGCTGACAAACGGGATTTTGCCCTGGCCGCAGGCAGTATAGATCTTGCCTTGATCACGGATAAGTTGGCGCGGACCATTCTCGGTTAGATTCTCTGGCCAGCGAGGAAACATCAGCCCAATGTCTTCCACGAGATAGAATTTCCGACAGGGGGTCTCCAGTTACTAACCCATAAACCAACTCGGCCGAAGCACACAATAATCCACCTGCCTGTCCAGAAAATGCTGCCAAACCATACCCATTCCCGGCTTCCCACATTCGGCCGAGCTACCAGCCACGAGGACGAAGCGACGGACGCCGTGCTTCTCCACCGCGTAGTCGATGAACTCATTCAAGGGCTTCCATGGCTCCATCAGATAGATGGCACAGATTTCTTGACCATGGACAAACTTGTAGTCGAATGGAATGCTCCAGGTATCCTTATCTAGCCAGTCAAACTTGACCGCCGGCATGTCTGGCGGAGCAGCCGACTGGCCGCGACGGGAAGCCAGTAGGAAAGGGATGTTGTCATTTGGAGGAAGCGTGCTACTCGAAGGCACCGGGCGATGGCGGTCGCCCAGCGCGGCAACGACGGCAACCTATGATGGGTCTAGGAGTCTCGAGGTGCATATTCCGGCCCGACAAGTCGCCATGCGTACATGCATTACATACCCGACTGACCATGTTTCTTGTACGCAGGATGAACTGCTCTACACTGCATCTCCAGGATACAGAAGCAATTCTGATCGAAACCATCGGACGGCGAGGGTGCCCACGGATTGGACGAGGAGTTGTGCCCGTGGTGATAAATCTTGGAAGACTGATATGCAACACATACAACTGTATTTACTAATCATTTCTAGATCGTCTCTAGATTGTCTCTTTCAGGCTATACGGCAGTCATGCTTAGGATTAAGCTAATAATGTAACCCAACAGTACATATATATCCCTTCGATTCTCTTTAAGTCGGCAATCATCACTGCAAAAGCATTGCCAGAAATCGGAGAACGGCTTCGTCATCGTGTTCGATTTCTCTCATACAGGCCGAAGAATGAATACAGCCTAATATAAGATTCCTTGCCTATTTTTTCCTGGCCTTTTGCTTGGCGAGGTTACACGGCCTCTTGCTTTCCCTGCTCATTGAATCGCTGTAGACATGTAAACTTCTGATTCGGGCTAAAGAGACTGTTTCTTCTCTAGCCTACAGTAAGTTAGATAGGAATTATTTCCGAAATTAAGGCGAAAGGATGACCCGTTAGCCTGTAATGGAGTAGTGTATTGAGAAATGGTTTTATTGACACCATGGTACAATACGTAAAGCAATTATTCTTACATCCAATTGCGGAGTCTTTCTGTTCCTCGCTATTCCTCGCTACCGACTTCCTGTCCTCCGTATAGGTCTTTATATCTCGCGCAGAAACATCTCACTCACTTAGTTTAATGTCGGTGGGCCAACAAAAGGCGGGAGACGATGCAGTGAGGGCAGTGGCGAAGCTGGTCCGTATTGCTTTCGTAAGATCTTAGTGATCGGACGATAGCCCTACATAGCTGGCCTAGCTCTTTCCCGGGTAATAAAGGGCTACAATATTTGTCTATGCGCATGAGTGGACCAGGAACAAGCCCAGTATACTACGCTACAGCTAAGTAGGGATTGAGAGAGCTAGCATTATGAGTATTAGTAGCATGCCACATTGCGAAATAAGGCAAAAACATTCAACTCCGTAAATATAATATACATAAATGTAGTGTTCATGCTTTTACACTCACAACTCGCAGGCGGCTAGAACTAACAAAAATGAAGGATAGATACTAACACAATGCAGAAAGGGTACATTTTCCTGTCATGTGCTGGTAGACGCCCAGCAAAATCAGCTTTAACAAGAGGAACTGCGCCTCAATTTGTCTCCTTCGTATTTTGCCATCTCAGGGCCTTCAAGTGGATGTACAGGGTTACTCCCAAGCCTGGATATATTGTCATTTTCCGATGTCTTCTGAAGTCGAATTTGCGCTTCCTGTCGGAGGCTGGGGCATATTCTACCCTGACACAGAGGCGCCTGTTGTTCGGCAGTTTGGCTTTCAGGTGCAGGTGATTCGCGACCAGCTAATTGGGAACATAGTTTGTTTTCCATTGTTACCAATTAACAATGTGGATAAAATAGCTGATGAATTGCAAACCGAGAGAGCGCTGTGTTGAGATAGTGAGGTTGGCGGGTTATTTTCACTCTTTTGGTATCACAACCTAGAAAGTAAACTGTTGTTCTGAAGGCGTAGACGTCAGTCAGTGATGCATATATCAATTTTAAATGACTTTGGAACAAAGTTTCTTTAAATAATGGTTGACATTCCATCATCATGACATGCAGAGTTTATAATAAAAGTGTTCTATTGGACTCATTATTTGGGATAGAATCCAAAGTTTGGCCACGCAATTACTAAGCCGGAACACAAGATAATCCAATGAAAACCACACTTTGATCGGCTGATGGAGGGCTCAAGACGCATGGGAGAACATAATTCTCCTTTCTTTCATGGAGTATGGGAGATTCAGACGGTCTGGTCTGCAGACCTACAGACCAGCCGTCAGCCATCAGATAAGAGGCTAGTAAGCCAACGGTGTCATTTCTAACTACTAGGGCAGAGTCTTCTTATACTAACTGCATCATCTTGAGGAAGTATTACCCTTAGCAATCGACACTCCATCGCATTCCGCTAAGATATCATTTTAGAGCCAACTAGACCAAGTGAGGATCCCTGGGGACATAACATGGCCTTCAATGGCGAGCTGTCTGGTTTATATTGCTGAGTTGGGGCCCATGATGGTCGTGCCAGTGTCTTAGGAATTTGCAGGCCAAAGGAGCCACACCAGCGAGGTTTCGGTTTGCAGTTGAGAATCAAAGATTCATGGCGCGCAAAGCTCAATTTTTTTGGACAGAGTAATCGAAAGATAAATCTTGTCTTCCTGGAAACCGTTTTGTCTGTATTTATGTTCGCAGGTCGTACGTGCGTAGATTTCGACCAAAAACTGCCGGTCACACTACCTGGTAGTGGTACTACGTATTATAGCGAATCTAGCTCAGTCTGCCTCCCAGTTTACGTAGCACAATTGCGGGGAGCTAGACGCACGATAGTGGGCAGACTAGGAGAATCGAGGAGGCTTTATAACAGTTCAATACCGCTCGGAGCGGGGATCATGTGGCCTGTAGGTGATGTTCCGTGTTGCCTCGCAAACCCTTGTAGCTTTCCACGTCCAACCCGTTGGTGAGAACCTTCGCGTGAGAAATCTGGCAACTTGGCGGGCTCTAGATTGACCACCCGCGTAGCCTGTTCATGCGCTATGTACGAATCAGTCTGGTTCTAAAGCATGCGTAATAATGTGGGCTGCTAATCCCGCACAGTGGCATGGATACTGTGGGTCAGCTGTACATAAAGTTGTGGTCGGAACGGTAGATGATGTGGCCGTGGCTGTCACTGTACATACTTCTCTATCAGCCCTGCGTTACGCTGTCCTTAGGATAGACCCCTTCTAGTCAGCTGCTGGTTCTATCTAGCTATCGTCTTCCACATCCTACGAATATCCACTCCATCTATCGATCTGTCTGTATCCGGGGATTATAGTAATATGTATTAGGATTTAGTGATCAGGCGACTAAAAAAATGCTTAAGCCGAGGAACGGTAGAGCCAGAAACTTTGTGACTTCGCGGCAAAGTCTAGAACGGCCGCGACCCTAACTCAAAAGACTGCAAGTTAGGTTACCTTCTTGCCCTCAGTCAAGCCCCCTAGCAGTCTCGAGAAGCTGCTGAGCACATCCCCTACTTCAACTTGTAACGCCAGTCTAGGATGTCCTCGACCAGTTCGTCACGTTAATAATGTTATTTATCAATAATTTGAATAAAGGATAAATCTAGGTGATAAATTTTACCTTATATGTTTGCATCATACTACCTAATCGATACATAGTGATGAATATGTCATAATGACGAAAGAAGTCTGGCCCCAGTCGTTCGCTATAATGTACCGGCTATTAAAGAGGATAGTATATAATTATGCCCAGAACTTGAGTGAACTCTTGATCCATCTTCGCGATTTCATGCTCCTTAATATTGTATGCACGTCGAATCGTCAGCATGCCTAAAGCATATTTTGACCGTGACACTATAACGCTGCAAGAAGGCAACCACATCGGTGCCCAGATTGGTGGCAAAATGATCAAACCCGACGGGATGGAGCTTGTTACTGGAGAAGTTGAACGGGTCGTCATTTATCGATCTCCAGAAAATGCGGTTGAGCTCAACTGTACGCAAGATGTTCAATTTTTGCCTGGCGAGCAAGTTATCTTTCAACCGTTGGGTAAGCTGTTCAGGATAGGCGCACGTGCATCATTTATTGACCAAGGCCCCAGACCCGGCTAGTTACGCTGCTATAGGAATGAAAAGTGGCAAGGAAGTTGAATTCAAGGAGTGAAAAGTTCATGTTATGCTCAAAATAATCTGATATTGTATATTGCTGCCGCGTTAAAATTACAGCTGAATTGTTACACAAAAATAAGTCGGGACTCGATAATCCCGCCACTATGGCGCCTGTTAACCGCCAGTTTATAAGCCCGCCAGTAATCTCCGGACCTAGGGATGTAGCTAACTGTCAAAAAGTACAGTAAGTGTCTGAAAAGCAGAGCAAGATGAGTCTTCAACTACTGGTGGTGTATACCGTACGTAGTTGATTTATAAGCCTAAAGACCTTTATTGAGTGGATTAAGTCCTGTCCCTGCTAAACTGCTGCAGATATTCGTTGAGGTTAAAAATCCAATGCGGGCGCCCCTCTGGATATCGATATAGGAGATCTGCTACGTTAGAAATGCCAGCAATCAGCGGCTTTCAGAAGCTCTCTTGTTGCACTCTAACTCGCAGGTCTCTTTAAGCTGTTGGATCCCCATCTGGATATACCAGTAAAGCGGTCATCAAGGTTATTGCTCCTTTCTATTTGCCGCCACGGTATTCCTGATAGACACATCCTCTATTGAAGGGCAATCGAGTTAACTGCCGCGCTAATCCTGGAACAAGCTATGGTGTTATAAGTTGCATCCCAAGGACCGTAAGATATCAATCATCTGCTCCCTGAGCCAAATTTGTAGGAGCTATACACTGGTATGAGGCGTCTGACAGCTGCTACATCGCTAATTCCCTTAATAAGGCCCAATAGCGATAGTGATAATAGCAGCAGTGATCTCCCCAGCCTTACTGTCAGTCAAGTCTCTCACACCTATAATATTGTTCACGAAGCAAAAAGGGAGCCCTAAGTGGTTATCTTATTCTGGTTACAAGCTGTCCATCACCCTATTATACTACTTTGGCTTATATATTCTGCTACCCACTATTCTTTGCGGGGATTAAAAGTATTGGCAGCTAGAAGACAATAATGTTATTAATCTTACCAGAGACTACAAACCTGTGTCCTTCTCCATCATTATAAAAGATCTGCTGTACTAGAGGACTGTAGACGGTATGGTGTTTTTCTGTTGGCTCTTTTTTCTTGGTGAGAGTGGCGGTTAGTTCTCTTCTGCATAGCACGTACATAGTCAGCACTCATAATAGCCTGCTTAGCTTTTAACAAGATCGACAAGCCCTTATAAATTCTCCAAAAGGCAGGTAGTATAGTGGGGACAGCTCTACCTAGCAACGATGAAAAATGGGTCATTCATTTGGTAGGACAGCCAACTGGATGACACCAATGTATTTGTTATTTTTCCTCGGCACGAAATGGCCATTGGGAATGGTCCGTCTGGTTTGCATTCCTATGCAGTTAACCCGTTGTTCATGCATGTATGCAAGGGAGAAGGGGGGAAAATGGTGTGATAAAGTGTATGTTGACTTTGTTATTGTTTTTCAACATTCCTTGTCTACCACAACACCACGTTGATCATCAAGTGGCCCCATCTAACACATTGAAAAAATTTAAATATGTCGAGAATAGTACCTAGATGACTTCGATAGAGTCAGGACCTGATTTATTTGAAAGTTCACCATTCTTTCTACTATCATTTATCTCCTGTCGGTCTCTGAAATGAAGCTTCCGTCGTTCTTTCTTCCTATAGCACTTACAGCTACAGCTCTCGCCCAAACCCTGAACATCGTTGCGCACGAGGACGATGACCTTCTCTTCCTCAGCCCGAATCTTCTTCATGAGGTGCAATCTGGACGGCATATCCGCACCATTTTCATTACTGCTGGGGATGCAGGCAATGATGCAAGTTATTGGACCTCGCGGCAGGAAGGGTCGAAAGCTGCGTATGCCCGGATGAGCAACGTCAGTAACTCCTGGACCCAGTCGGACGCCGGGGTCCCAGGTTTCAACATCCCTTTGTTTACGCTTAATAATAACCCCAACATATCACTCGCATTCCTTCAGCTGCCAGATGGGAACAACGGGGGCGAAGGCTTTGGATTAGGCAGTCTGCAACGCCTATGGGAAGGAAGTATAGATTCTCTAACATCCTTCAGCGGGTCGTCGTATTCCAAGCACGCATTGGTGGATGTGCTTAGAAAAATGGCCAATGATTTCGGCTGTGACAACATCAGAACACAAGACTTTGTTCATGGATATGGCGAAGGTGACCATAGCGATCATCTTACCACCGCTTATTTCGTCCGGGAGGCCTTCGACAATTGTGACGTTGGGAAGCCAATTACAAGTTACATGGGATACCCTGTGGAGTCGCTTGCGGTTAACATAGACGATGAGACGCTCGCACAGAAAAAGGCTGCTTTCTACACATATGCTGGTTACGATAGGAATACATGCAGCAGTGATGAGAGTTGCCGCGGACGATCTGAGGAGGCCTGGGTTCAAAGGGAATACGTTGTCGCTGAAGTGGACCAGGCACACTGCCGCGTTCCGAAACGACCTAATGCCAGGAATAAGGGAAAGGCTATGGCCGGCAAGCCTCTGGCTCAATCATAACGCCAGCAGCTCCTAGTTATTGACGCCCGGTTATGAGTCGTCTGAAAGCATAATATTGCTAGCCACCATATGTGCTACCAGAGGCTGCTGCAGTAGCCGTCTATTTGTTGTTCAAGTCTTTTCGGCTTGGAATGTGGCTTTCTCTTCTTCTTGGAGTGTTGTTTATTGTGACACTATTTTTGTCTGTTGGTAATATTATATGGTCATGATAATGTTTCAAAGACGCGTGCCGTCTGGCGAATGTATGAGATTGCTAGTTTTATAAAATAAATATAGTAGGTAGAAGTATTCCCTTCTGCTAATTTAGACCTCTTGGATTTTAACGCGCTTTCAGGGGTTTGGTTGATATTTAACTTGAACAAGGCAATAAACGCAGGTCTCAATAAGACAGCCCACTTAACCGAGAAATATATTAACGAAGGAAAACTAGATAATGAGCTAGATACATGGCAGACAGAATTGCACCTAAGGGGAGATAACCCTGTGAACATTTACCAATTGTTTTCGCCATTCAAGAAGGAAGAAAGAGAAAAAGAGCTAAGAAAAGGAAGGAGACCCCGTGTTATTGGGCTTAGAATTGGATTGGGCGAGGCTCGTGAGCCCGGGAGCCAGGTGCCTGAATTTGTAACTCTCCCTACCTCTTTGCCTTCGTTAATGTCTGCACTAAGTAGGGTATAGGATATTTTGTAGCGTACATCTCAAGCCTCCGTTCTAGCATTACTATTGCAGTCCTTCAGTGTCCCCGAGGTTAACGTCTTGAAGAGTAACTGTGTTCGGCTACCGAAGTTTTCCTTTCTGCCAGAAGACATTACAACTAGAATATAAGGATATGTGAATTGACGTCAAAATGCCTGCTACCGAAACTATAGATAGCTGCATTTCTACTTGTAATAAGAGAGTCTCATATGGACTTCTCATCAATAATCGCTTAAGCCACTTATCTATAATATATCACCAGATATCCAAGAGGGGAAAAAAAAAAAGGCAAAGGACAAGAGAAAGTTAAAGAAGAACGTCCAATGTATCAAAAACCACCAAAGGCGGGCTCCAGCGGGGGGTCCATATCCTTCAACGCTTCCCCTATCGCCTGAAACGTGGCAATCTGTCGCTCCTGCTCTTCCTGCGGCAGGGCAGCAAAAGCAGCTGTTCCTTCGTCCCACTTTTTCACACAGTCTACATTCCAATTGCACCTTTCAACTTCCCCAAAGATGGGGTGATGGAACCGGGGGTGACGTTTTGGCCACTCGGAGGCGTGGTAATGATGCTTGACCAACGCGTTGCGAGAGTTATGGGTGCCTGAGTCGGAATGTCCTTGCCCAGCAGCGAAGGCTTCAACTGTCAGGACCAGGAACCCTCCAACAACTTTGGACTCGGGAATATCATGGAACGTATTCCATGTCACGGTCTTGCCAGTGGCACGGCTCATTTCAGATAGAATGGCGCCCGTGAAGGCAGACGGCCCGGTGCCCGTGATCACATCATCAAAGTCCAGCTGAAGCTCTGAGATTGGCTTTCCTTGCTTGATAGAGAGCTCATTAAGCCAGTGGAGGATATTCTCGACCAGTCGCATCATCACGGGTTGTCGGGGCTTGCACATGAAGGTCCACTGGCAGAAGGACTGTGATTTCGGACCCAATATAGGATGGTCGCTGAACTGTGGCTCATCAATTTCGACGCCTATAACCATTCCGATGTCCCTTTCGTCGTGAGTGCTTGGGATAAATCGTTCGACAGGTCTCAATGCTTCCACGTCTATATCAGCATAGACACCTCCTTCTATATACATCACAAGGTACCGAAGCAGATCAGCCTTGATAATCGGCGCAGTGAGCGATCGATACGTTTCAACGATATCTGGTCGATTCTCCCCAAGAGGTCCGAAATTCGTTTCGACATATTCGAGATCATTCTGGTCGGTCAGAACTTCGTACCGATAGCCCGGGTTTTTCGCCGTCCAGCTGCGCGCAACCTCGATATCACGTCCGTCGAATTCCAATGGGTTCACTTTCCAAATCTGCCAGATTTTCCGAGGAAATGTTTCACCAACATTGCCTCTCACCTTGGTAGAGTATAATTGAGTCTCACTAAAGTTGTGTGATGTCCTGGTAACACAAAAATAGATGAATAGGAACAATGCTACCAGGCCGCCATGTGTGAATCGACGTGCTCTCTTCGGAAAGAGACTGATCGGCACGAATTTCTTCTCCACCATGACTGTGCCTGTGGTGTGATCTTATTCAGTGACCTCTCGTCTGGGAGAGGCAAAGAAATCGCAGAAAAGGCGAAAGATCATGAGTCCAGGAACTTCTTTCACTGCTGGTATAGATTACACACAGTACACAGTTTTGTATTTCACATGTGGCCATCATTTAGGTACCTCGGGTTGTGTTAGTCCCTGGTAAGCTTATGTCTCATTTAGAGGGCCGCCCTTTTGGTTACCCCGCGAATGTAGTTGGAGCCACTGGTACAGGAACCGTATAAAACCCAAGATCCACTCATTACTTGGTGGTCTCCGGACGCTCTTGCTCAATCAACCGGACTAAATAGCGGGGATGTGGTGGGCCCAGCCAATCGTGGCATATTTGAGTGGAAAGTGCCGTTGAGACTTCCGTAAATCTTATTCGTTTTCATGGACCCCACTCAAATACGGCCCCAAACCTTGTCAAATTGCTGGGGTGAGATCGTGCCTGTATGGCTTCAGCCACGCGAGCATGTTCCCCCGGGGGCCTGCGTCCAGACCCCGACTCGTGGAGATAAGCAACGGGTCCACAAAGATGTAGCATGACCTGTATGAAACAAAATATAGCAGTAGCCTCGGCACCAGTGGGTAGTGGCACTGGCGCTAGGCCTGCCTTGTGAGAGCCGTAATCCGTGCTCACCCTATGACTCTACACAATTCACAAGTTATCCAGCTACCAGGAGCCGTTGAGATCTCTTAAGTGGTGGTATTTGCGTTTTATTGATCGTCTTCTTCATCCTTTCAAAAGACTCTGGCAACTTCAACTCTTGCCCAGGATGTCAATCCTACCCACCTCAATCGAGAGACTCTCGCCCCAGTTGAATTTGAGCTCCGAACGAGTCGTCGAGGGTGGACAGTGGAAGTCACTGTTAGCCCAAAGGACACACCCTCGACGCAGAATGCCGTCTTTTTCATGGGCGGCGCCTTTCCTGCCCACCTTATTCACTGGGCCGACAAATCGCGATACAAATACGAATGAAAAACAACGACAGCGTACCAGGTCGACCGCATACCTAGATGGTTTGCGAGGGTTTGCGGCTCTCCTGGTCTATTGGGCACATCATCAACTTTGGGCCCACGATGGGGTAGGAGTGGGAAAGGCCTTCGAGTTGGCCTACGGTTACGACAACAAGTACTATTTCGCATGCCTTCCTGGTGTCCGAACGATCTTCGCCGGGGGTCATTTTGCTGTCAGCGTCTTCTTCGTGCTCTCTGGGTACGTTCTCTCCATGAAGCCACTAGGGTGCATCCAGGATGGCGACTACGCTGAACTAGGTAGAAGTCTTTCCTCTGCTGTATTCCGCCGATGGTTTCGTCTCTATATACCCGTCATTTGCACAACAATTTGCTACATGACAGTTTTGCATCTCTTCAAAATCCGCACTGTCACAGAACTTCAAGGAAGCTACCTTTCGGAGCTATGGAATTGGTACGCCGAATTCAAGAATTTCAGCTTCGTTCTGCGAACAGGCGGTGAGCCTTGGTTCACGTACAATGTCCATACTTGGTCTATACCAGTGGAATATCGAGGCTCTCTGGCTGTTTACACCGCCGCGATCGCTCTAGCAAGGTTTCGCCGAAACGCCCGGCTAACTGGTGAAGTCGCATTGGTGGTATACTTCCTGTACATTGCCGATGGGGCGCACTTTGCCATGTTTATTGCTGGCATGCTTCTGAGAGATCTCGATCTCCTCGCCATGCGCAATGACTTGCCCGACATCTTTCGCAGACTGGACCCCTTCAAGTCAGCCATCATGACTCTACTCTTCTATGCCAGCCTCTACCTTGGCGGGGTCCCATCTCATACGGATAACCTACAACAACTACGTGATTCACCGGGGTGGTACTTCTTATCATTCCTCAAGCCACAGGCAGTGTTCGACTACAAGTGGTTCTACCTGTTCTGGGCCGCTGTCTTCCTTGTCTCGTGCACATCTCACCTTCCCTGGCTCAAGGCCTTCTTTGCCTCCCCGTTCAACCAGTATTTAGGGCGCATTTCATTTGCCTTATATTTAGTCCACGGACCGGTTCTGTGGATTTTAGGAGACAGGCTGTACGCGGCAGTGGGATTTGAGCGCGATTCACATGCCCAAAATTGTCCCTGGTGGATTAATCGTTTGCCCCTGCCTACCCTTGGTCCTTTCGGGCTTGAGATCAATTTTCTTGTCCCACAGTTCATTTTGTTGCCCTTGACCCTCTGGCTTGCAGATATCACGACTAGACTAGTTGACGAGCCCGCTGTGAGGGTCTCTCAGTGGATGTATCAAAAGGCACTGGTCGACAAAGCTTGACAAATCGCCGCTTGTGTTTATGATCTACTTAATTTATTCTATTCTATTCTATCCCATTTGATTTTATCCATCTATTTATTTATTTTTCTGGCTCTCATGCAAAGCCCGCCCGCATTATATATTGTTGTATGATAAAAGTCGTAGCAATTCTTAAGTCCAAATACACCTCAATCGTCACGTAACAACTTGCTTTGAGAGTATGTATGCCTTGTATTCAAGATCACAGTGGAAAAGCTTATCAGAGGATCGATTTCCGCACGTGTCCTTCATCGCTTTACCAAATTTCTCACGGCCGATGCAATGCCAGTCTTAGGAGTTGTATCTAGCGAGGATTTTCGGTGATGCCCCGAGGCAACGCTGATTACGATACACAGAAAGTAAGAATTGCACTCCCCATCGATCACTAGTGGCAAACAACCGACCCTTAATTCAGTCCACTTCTAGTGTCCGTTAGGTTCCCCTTTTCTAGTCAATGAGCCAGTGACCAATCTCGGCAACCCGTTTTCTAAAATATAGCTTATTACCTCTTACTGTTACTTCCCGATGCTCTTCTCTACGCACGCCAGACTGAACATGGCTAAAAAGCAAGCCACACGCCTGATGCTTCTTGCAGGGCTATTTTCCGCAGGGATCCTCGTCCTTAGACTTCTATCCAACCATCTTGATTTGCAAACGATCTTTATGACCACGCGTCACTCTGCGGTTGCCCCATATGAACAGTCACAGAGCTATCCTGGAGAATCCAAGACAGCTTGCTCAGGCGTTCCCGGCAGCGAAGCTTGGTCTCACTGCTGGGATGGACAACCTGCAGACGAGGACGGAAGAGGTCCTAAACACGAAGGAGACATTTCTCGAACGCACCATATCTTATACTCGGTATCGAGTTCCGATCGGGAGTATTTTAAAATCGATTTTGGGAGAAGATCCGTGATAAATCCCAATATCATACCTCATCCTGAATTACCTGACACCTGGATCGTCACTGCACAACTTCATAACCCTCCTGCGGCTCGAATGGCATCAGTCTGGTTTGCTGAATTAGTCTGCAATGCGGCATTCTCGGAAGATAAGCGAGTTCTGAGCTGTCTGGAACCACCACTGCAATTGCCTCTACCAGCCACGTTTGGTGACTCCAGCAAGTGCACCGGCGACATTTCACACTTTAGTCTCAACGTTGGGCCTCATGATGCGAGGGTATTCTACGGTCCCAAGATTCCGTACACCATTTATGGCTCCAATTCGTTCTTTACCTGCTTTGGGCAATGGATCTCCGATTTTCGAATCTTGGTGGACTGGGGCATAGACACGATACATGAACACGAGTTCCGCCAGTATCGTGAGCTCCAGCGCCCATTGCCATGGAATGCTGTCGAGAAGAATTGGTTTCTTTTCTGGGACGACCTTGGACAAATGTTCATACACCATGATATTGCACCGGAGCGAGTGTTTGCGAAACTCGAGACCGATGGCTCCGTTGGGCCAAACTTGGCTCTGGCGACCGCGACTTCTGACCAAGCGTGTCTTGACAGATTCTTGCCTCAGAGTACAAGCCCAACAGCGAGCATCCATCAAGCCACAAACTCATTAGCTATCACTCTATGTGCACGATCTGACCACTCTTGCCAACCTGATACGAACAATACCTTTGTGCTCTTTATCATCCAACAAAAGACATTACACGCTCTTCACCCTGTATATGAGCCATATGTCGTACTTACGCGGCGTACTACGCCATACGAAATTCATGCAATCTCGGCAAAACCAATTTGGATTTTTGGTCGCAGAACTGGTCCGAAAGAGTCAGATTCATCTTCAACATCATTCTCGGAAGACTCCGAGATGCTCTATATGACTAGCATCAGCTGGAAAGGCCGAGGTCAGAAGTATCATGGGTACATTGATGACATATTATTCCTGGCATTTGGGAGGGAGGACTCGGCCGCTTGCGGTATCGACGTTACCGCGAGAGACCTCTTAGCAGAGCTGGGTATGTGTACAGGATTCTGATTTAATTCTTCATTAGGACTTCTAGTGGCTTGCAAGTCTCGTGTTATAGTTGCCTTTGAGAGGAATACGACCTTGTTACGATGTATAATATTTAGATGTGCTTCGATATTGGGAGTTCAGTCCACCACCGAGCAATCCACTAGCGATCCACGGAAGTGGCCTGCACTTTCACATGATTTTTGCCACCATATTGTCTAAGAATTTATCGACCGAGGCGAGGCCCATCCCTGGAGGGGTGCTAGAAGAACATTGAGCATGTGCCCGGAACTCGAAATAGTTAGTGCTTTTGGGTGGGGCATATGGTCCTCAAGCCAAGGATCTAGATCCCCGCGTTAGATGTATGCGTCAATTGGTCAATGGAGAATTCCAACCTCACTGCCAGAAACGCCCCTCCGGCTGACAATCTCGATGCAGCCAGATATCCAGTCGGTGGCTGCTTTAATCGAACCTGGCTACCTTTGATTTCTACGGGATAACGATGACAGGAATTGTTCAATGCGGGCACAGTCAAGCATCACTAGGAAGTTAGGGATAAGGATTGCGCGCGGTTTGGAATCCGCGATCCAGGGAAACAGACATTATGTGAAAACGGGTGGAAATCAGTCTCCACTGAAGAAATAAGATTTCAGCAAAGGGGACACTGAGGAGGTCCGAGGAGAACTGACTGATGGCACGCCACGAATAATGATCTAAAGATTCCGAACCAAGGACGTACTAAAGCTTTTTCTCCATTTTTCGACTAGCTTGCTGTTGCCAATGTTGCATCCAATATTACCACTAGAGTGTTTTAGGATAAGATGCTTTCGTCGGACTTCTATTTCCGCATAGCCGGGTTTTAGAGGTGCGCGTATTCATATTGGCAGTGTTGCTGGAGAGTGCCTTGCTTTCAACTGGCGTGACGCCATTCCAGTGAGGCTATGTGCCGTCCCAAACATGTGAACAACCCAGTCCGCGTAGTCTGACCATGAAAATGCCTTTCCTTCGTGCCATAGGGCGTTATTTTGAGCACCCAGGTCATCCTTATTCCTTCTATGGATTATAACTCAACTTGAGAAGCTCTAGGGTGTAGTTTGAGACAGAAATTAGGGAAGAAATGCACCCTGCAGTAAGTTTTTCCGCAGCGTTGTGATTGTACAGTGTATCCTAGAATAGGTAATATTATAAATGGTTGTACCTTGAGATAGATCGGTCCAAAGAAGATACTAGCATTAAGTTAAGTATATCAGACAACAGTGGAACGAAGCCCCGAGACTTTATGCACGCCATACTTTAGGCCAGAAACATTATGCTGGCAATCAGGATCGCAGTACTACCCACCTGAGCAGCTCCGTATCCAATACCAGAGGCCCCGTTAGACAGGGAAGTGCTTGAAGGCGACTCAGTGTTGACCGTGGCCAAGGTCGTGGAACGTATAGTCGAAGTCATAGAGGCCTCAGACGAAGTCTGAGGGCTGTTACCCAGACCGCTCACCGTGGTAGAATAGGAGCTGCCCACCGTGGTGGGAACACTTCCCGCAGAGGTCGAGATGGGAGCTGATGAGTCCACCGGTGGGATAGAGACTGGGTGTCCAGCCCCAGAGCACAAGGATGCGACAACTTTGGAAAGGGCTAAAGAGGCATGGTAAGAGGGGATCATATGGAGGGGAATGTGGCTTCTCATACCTAGTTGGTCCCCGACATCACAGGCTTGTTTGACGCAGGGCACAACCTGTTCCACGAGGCCCGCCTTTTGGCAATGGCATGCAAAGTCTGTCAACTCGGAGCAGCCGTCCGCACCAAGGGCCGAGGTGAGACATTGAAGCTTCATGAGGAAGAAGAAGAAGAGAGCATGCGTTAGTTATGAAATAAGATATGGAGCCGGAGCACTGAGCGGACAGATCTTACAGAACATGTTGGGATATTGGATAGCTGGGCGCTGGTGATGGCACCGGCGCTGAGCACGGCAACAGCAGCAGCGATACGCATTTCTGCTATGATGCTGAAATAAAGGGATGGGTAGCCTGGAGGTTGTCAGGTGTGAAGGGGCGCGCTGAACGCGACAAGCACAATAAATAGCACATAAATACATGGGCCAACTAGTCTTATATGATCTAGCACTCCAGGCCTTATTCCGACATAGCGGAGTATACCGGCTACAAGAACATTATCTATGTCACATTATTGGTTGCCTAGTTATCTTTGGTTTCCGTTTTATATTAACTCTGTCGGGCTGGGTCTTTTCAGACTTGGTCTGCTGGGTATAAAAACAGAGTAACCCTGTTACTATAATACAGCTAGCCTTGTAATGGTATGAACAAAGTTTGAACAAGGCGGGCCCCTGAAACCCAGACAGAGATGGGTTAGTGTGTTCATGTGGCTCTGTTGTTGGAGTTTGTACCCTGACTACAAGGCGTTACCCACATATGTCTTCAATTAAACAGGGTGGAGCCAGCCTGGGGATGCATGCGGGGGTAAGTAGAAACCAAGGCACAGTTTAACTTGTTGTCAAAAAGGGAATGAAGGGCTTGTAATTTACTGTCATTTTGCTGGTTGTTTTCTGGGTCAGCTTCACTTCACTTTCCTAACTGCCATTATCACTTCTTTCTATCTATTTCCAGTCATTTCTCCAATCATTTACTGAAAAGAACTTCATTCTGTGTTTATTGAACTGAGTAACTATGGCTACGATATATTCCCTCTATTTACTAGATCCATGTTTAGTTTACGATCCATTGCAAGGAGCTGAAGCTATTGGAACTTTTTTTTTTCAGTGTCAAGCGTACTACCAGGCGCACTCTCCCCAACCCCCAAAATATGCTCAGAGATCTACTGGACGAAAGTCCGCTCTCTTTGGACAAAAATACAACCTCTGAATTCTAGTTTTTATAACTATCAATCTATCGTGGCTACATGTGTTGGGCATAACTAGTCCCTGCGCATATCTCATTTCGACACCCCAACGCCAGTTCCCTTGTGCTGTCACCTATGATGTAGTATCTCTGCAAAACAACCAGACGAACATTCTTGTAATTAATATGGGAAAATGGGATTGCGGTTCATATGTGGCATCTTGTCAACCTCCGAGCGTCAGAACAGGTATTCCGAGGCAGCCAACGACACTTCGCTCAAGCGTGAACACTGATAAAAAAATAGAAGCCAAGGTCCCCTGAAGTAAGGCCAGTCTTGTTGCACGGAGGTCATGACGTTCTCAACAATTACCATAAAGACACATACTTGTCCATATAGATGCGTCATAAATGCATGTATCTGGGGGGTTCGCATCCCAGAAGGGCCTCGGCGCTCTGGCCCGGTTGCCGACTCTGCCCGCTACATCTTCAACCGGGACCTGTGATCATATTGCCATGCACTGCTGCGGACAATTTGCCGGTTCATCCTTTTAGCAGGTCGGTTTGAGTGGAAAGAAGGTTGGCGAGGCTCCCACTGGCACCGAGACCCATGTGGCGGGTGACATCGTAACCATGGCCGGCGGTCGTGTATCCTATGTCTGCATGACCTGGGATCTGTCCCACCCTGTCGGATTCTCCTCAACCACAACCAAGAAAATGAGCTTTGCTTCTATATCTCCCTTGGCAAGGCATCCTATTTGTCCAATTCGTCTTCTTCAACAAGTAACAGTTCTGGCTAAGGTTATCACCAAGGAAGCTCTCGAACTCTCCCCGTTTGTCAGGGAACCGTAAGAACAGACATCTTGTGGCTCTAAACTCTAATTGATATCTTAGCGATTAGGTGGGCATTTTCAGCTCGCAGTGGCAAATGCAAAGTCGCCCTCACTGACTATTACCTCTACTCTCGTCAATGGCGTGACAATGTCGCTTCAGAGATACTAAATTACGCACTAGTGACATGACTCAAAGATCAGGTAAAAAGTAGAAGTTGAATTGACATGGGGCTACCGCTCTTAAATGACAAACAGCTTTAAAATGGCATGAATTCATTAGGACTTATTCATCAGCCAAAGCCGGCTCTTAATTCCAGACTCTTTCACATTTATCTTAACTTTATACTTTGATGTCAGAGGCTTCAGGAGCTGAAAACTGTCCAGCCATAATGTCACGTAACTGCGGCAATGCTCTATTTTGTGTTCTCGTTCCGTTTTCAGCTTTCGGACTCATCTAGAACTTAGTAGGATTAGTCTGGCCCACTACAGACCAGAACCAGAGATTCATTTAGCACCGAAATTCAAATATAGAAAACTGCTATAAATTGTACATGGATCTAACTCGGGGTTTCGTATCCGAACAATACCTACCTTCTCGGTGTGCCATCATTCCAAGCCGGAATACAACCCATCCGACACTACCCAATATGGCTAGTTACACCTCAAGACTATCAAAAACCCTAGGGCGGCCTGCGCCTTCTGAGAAGCCTACAAAACCTCTCGTCCTCCTTTGTGATGGAACTTGGTGTGGTCGAGAGACAGATACTCACACTAATATTCTTGAGCTCGCGAGAATAATGGGAGTTGAAGAAAATCCTGACAGAGTCTTCTACCTTGAGGGGGTAGGCATTGGAGGTACATTTCTAGAGTATGTTTCTTTTTCAGCTTTCCATTATGGTTTGCATACTGATGATAAGCTGCTATGCCATACAGTTACGTCTTTAATGGTGTTACAGCGCAAGACATTGCCAGCCAGTGCATAGAAGCTTACAAATTCATTGTCAAAAATTATACCTATCCAGATCACGAAATCTGGATGTTTGGTCTATCCCGAGGTGCCTACCTGGCTAGAGCAGTTGCTGGCATGATTAACAACTGTGGAATTGTTAAACCGGTAAAGGTGAATGGGGTTATTGATGAACTACAAACCCATACACTTTGCGAAGCTGTATACAATAACTACCGTTCCCCTTATCCTATCAACAGACCGCACTCTGTTCAGTCGCAAATCTTCCGACAGGAAAAGTCCTGGCCACTCATTGGTGATGAGGACCCAGACAAACCGATGGCTCCAAGATTCATTCCTCCTGTGAAATTCATGGGACTCTTTGACACTGTTGGAAGCCTGGGACTACCAAACTTTACCGGAGGCTTGGGCCTGGATTGGCCAGCCTTCTATGATCAAAATGTCTCCAGCGCTGTCGAAAATGTGTACCATGCTGTATCACTGCACGACAGAATGTACGCTTTTCAACCTTGCCTTGTGAGTCGAAACGAGAATATTCATCGTCAGGGCTTGGAAGACTTTGGCGTTACAAAGCAGGAGTGGCTCCCAGGCGTGCATTATGACCTTGGTCGCCAAAGATTCAGATTTCTTCGTGAATTTGGCGGCGGCTATCTTGAGGACTTCCTGGCAAGGTTCAAATTTGCCAGTAAGGTCATTGAACCAAACGAGGTGCTCGCTGACTTTGCCCTACGCTGGATGCTGTTCGCTATCCGCGCTCACAATCCCCAAGCACGCGCTGCATATCATATAATACCGGAAATTGACACCTACATTGAGTATGTGACCAATGGTATTATAGAAAAAGCTCAAGTTCCTGGCCGAATTGGGGACGGTGACGTTTATGGCCATGTACTTGAATTTGCGCCTTTCGGATCAGCCATCTTGGATATTATGAGAGCGCTAAGAGGCACTAGAGAGAAAGTCTCCGCTATATATCAACTTTTCTTTAATCTACGGGATCGCCTTATACCAGATCGCAATGCGACTGTCTACGATTTTCGCGACCCTGACCCAGGTATTGGGAGATCTATTATGGATCTTGGGGTTGTTTGCGAGCATCGGTATCCGTCAAAAACGTACACGAAGTGGGAATTGATGCACTAGGTGTAATCCGGCTGAAGTACAGCTGGCATGGACTCTGCGGGTGCGCAAAAAAGGCTTGAATTGATGGAATATTTATTAACGTATGCTGGGCTTACCATGTGTGCTTGGGACGTTTGTATAGTACCCGCTTTTCTAGAGCGAAAGAGTTTAGGGATATTCCATAATCTCGCTCTCCAGCCTCCAAATTGCAGCAACTAAAAGTCTACCGAGATGAGCCAATAATTCTTTAGGTCTGACGGTAAAATATAAAACATACTCATCTACTTCGGCCATCACTATTTTTATTGTTCCAAGTAAACATTGTTGTGAGAAAGAGGAACAAAAGGCAATTGGGGTCCGTCCTGTAACAAACTTAACCGGAAAATTGCCCAGGTTCCATTTGGGAGACTACCACACATGGTATATTCCATTTGGCGAATTACTCCAGCAATCCGTCTAATCCGCCAGCTTTTTTGCACAAAAGTCGAACTATATGCCTGTTTCATTCTACTTAATACGTATGTCAGAGCTATAAACCCAAACCATCACGATAACACAAGCCGTAGCAGTTGTCAAAAAAAGGACAGTAGAAGGCTAAAGTGAATGTCGTATACCCACATCATTAAGACCCTTATAAAAACATGTTGCACCTATCATCAATTCTTGTAGATAGTAATTAAAAAGAAAGAATATACTGAGGCTCTTGGAAATCAGTCCGATGCCCGATTTGTAGTTATATAGCCCTCAATGTTGTCTGTAAACACAACAATCAATCTACATTGATCAAATCTTTCGCCAGTCCCAGCTTTTGGTCTTTGGTTACAAGAAGGAATCCACAGCCTGATAAAATAGGGTGTCTGGTGGACGCTACTTTGGATATATTCCGCATCTTGTAGGAACCGAGGCATTAAACATTACCACACTCACTATAGAGTTCTTAAGTGGAGAGCTCCTACCAGCAAATAACATCAAGGAATGAACTGCACATAGCCTATTACAGGAAAAATAAATTTTAAGCCTAACTAAATCTTCCACAATGACCAGTTCATGGTAACACCTGCTTGGTATGCAGAAGGGTCTGAGGCATCCGGTCCTTAAATACTATCAAATAGTGCCTTCTTATCTAGAAACCGGTTAGCCTAAAGCGGTAATCAAAAGTCCACTTACGATATACTTACTGCACGGGAATGGAGTCCATTCACTCCCATCCTCTGGCAAGTATACCTTGAAACCTGGGGCCACAACTTTGTTCTTCATCTCACCAACAGGACCCGGTGCGCGCCTAAAGTTATCCAGACGAGCAACAACGCGCAACATAGCAGCAGCAGCGACAGTTACAACTGGTCGACCGAGACATGAATGGGGACCCCATCCATGGTGGATGTACAAATCATCTGGTCGATCCAATCGAATAGATTCAGGGTCTGGAAACTTGGTGATGTCGCGACCGGCGGTAACAAAATCGACGAAAAGAGTATCGCCTCTTTTCAGGTTAACCTGTTCGACACCGTCTTCGATGGTAGAATCCTTCGTTACCTCGCGGAGAACGCCGAAGGCTGGAGTAGAGAGGCGGAATCTAACAAGTTCAGCAAGTCTCGTCTAGCCAGACTTAGGGACGGTATCATACCCTTCAAGGGCATATTTCTTCAGCTTTTCGAACGATTCTGCATCATTTGACCTGGCGAGCCTCTGAATGTCAGGCCAGTGGACGTAATACTTGTCGGACAGGTAGAGATCGATCAGTTGGGCCCACTGCATGTACTTAGCAAGATTCCTGAAAATTACTCGCGCGTTGTTAGAACCTACACCTTGGGCCTGCGTGGCGCATGCGGCGGCAGCGGTTGGTATGATAGTCCAAGTCACCTCCTCGGCCGACTTTCCACCGGCTGAAAGGCGACGAACAAGTTCAGTACCATAATCAGGTAGCAACTTTTGCTTCGATTTTGAGCCAATTAAGTATTCCCGGAGGTGGGAATTATGTGTGGTAACATGCCCAATACGCTTCTGCATCACTTTGCCGAGCTTTTCTGTGTACTTCGATGCAGCGACACGGTGTTTGAATGATTGCATAACATCCACATCGAGGAAGACGTAGCCGAAAAGACTTGCAAGTACATCGTACAGTTCTGTGGTCGTATAGGAGTCGCGATCCATTCGGTCTGCATCTGCACAAAGGGGAATGTCGAAGAATTCGGAAGTGAATTCCGCGTGTACCAAGTTTCCGATACTAGTTATAATCACGTTAGACTGGAAATTTTTTGACTTGTCAGGGGACATACTCCCGTACTACGTCGACCTGATAATATGGCCCTAGTTTACGACTATATTTCTGGAGAAGCCTTGAGGTCGCATCTTCGTAAAAGCGCCGCACTTCATCAAGAGCATCTTTTGGCGTGTACAGGCATTTATCGACGAACAATCTTTGGTTGGCATCTGCTGTTGAGTCTCCGCTCAGCATATAATCGTGGTGTGTGAGCTGGAATGTATGTGAACCCCCTTTGGTATGGTCAGTATGAGGCCTGGTTGACAATTCCAAGGGATATGCTCGCGAGTCTCACATGGGACATGAAAGTGCTTTTGTTGGTTTAATACGTGCGTCACCCCTTCCCATGACTTTATTGCAGTTACCGGGCCCTGGAATGATGGCACGTTATAGTCCAGATCTCCCGAAGCAGCCTGTTTCCCGAAGGATTCTCGCACTTGCTGCGGTGTGGTGAAAGGATAGAGCGCATAGACACTGTTTGGGGCGTAGTATCTAGGAAAAGCGCGCATAAGAAGCTTGTACATTGCCCCGCCATTCGCAACGTCAAAGTCGGAATTGCTCTCTTTGAACCTATTAAAATCTCAGTTATACTTCTTTGAGGGCTTGCCCTTCATCTAAGCACTGACCCAAAAGTCGTTAGATTGACCGGGCCATAGTCCACAGTGTAGAAGCGATCGCCCCTCACCAGGGCAACTGCATCTGACAGTATGGCCACGGAAATAGTAAAGCCAGGACATAGTCCGGAGCCGGGGGAAAAGGGCACTTTAGACTCCTCGGCTTGGACGCCGACATAGAGTTCGATGTTGTCCGGGTGGCCATACAGTGCCTCCACTGGAAAATTTGTTAGCAATCACAGTGATTACAGTCGACTATAGTATACTCACAGGCTTCCGCAATGGCAGGATCAGAGTTGACGGCTTCTATAGAGCATTGTCAGTCAAGAGCTAATTGCGAAATCCCCTTCTATAATGTCTTACCAAATGTGGTATACGGTTTCAACTTGAAGTAACTCCGCAGCTCATTCAGAGTAGCTAATCCCCAGTCACGTCCTTGTTGGATGCCGAGCATTTCGATGGCTTTTAAGACCTGTGGGGTATTGCGGGCCCCAAACGCGCCTTGCAATAGCATCAGTACTGAACGACTTTTACAAAAGAAGCCCTGATAACAAACCAGCAACATGCTCCGTGCCGTCCTGCAAAATCTTCACCAGGTCTGAATCTTTGAAACTTCCGGTTGGGAGACGTTCCAACGTGCCAAAAGTCCAACGTGAAGGCTCTTTGTCGAGGTTCGCGCTCCACTTCCCCAAACCCCGGAGAAATTCCGTAACGGATAAAGTGCCTGGTATAAGTACTGGTAAGATACAACAAAGAGATGCTACATGTTGATATTTACTTACTTGGATCCACATCCTGCCCAAATAGGTCCTTCATAAAGGCATTCGCCCAAGCTTCATCCTGGTTGCTTATGGCCGCATGCCACCTGTAAATCATGTTGAATTCGGCACTAACCTGATTCCCTAGACCTCTTGGTACACCTTCGGAGTCAAAGAAATCAATTTGGCCGCGTGGATCGAGTTTCCAGTTGGAATTAACCGGATTGGCGTTTAAATTGAGTATAGTCCGGAGGTAATCACCGAGGATTATATTAACGTAAAGACTACAAGTAACACTGCCATTAAATGATTAACTTATCTATCCCTTTGCATCAACGAGGATATACTCACAGCCTTCCAGTCTGAAACAAGTCATTGTCCCGCTTGGACAGGGCGGATAAGTACTCGGGACTATCCGGTGTGAGACCAGTAGGCAAGCTAAACCGCCCAGCCTCGTTGATGAAAGCCATCTCCTTGACCACGTAGTTATGGAACCGATTGAAGGCAATTATCAAGGCACACACGCCTGGGGGCTGGCCAAGAAGTCGTGATTCTGAGAACGTATCGTCCTTCAGAAGTCCGTCCTTAAATGTCCGTACTCGGTTCTGCTGTTCCTGATTGTGTCCATACAGAGGACCAAGATCCAGATAGGATGAATTCTTCAGTCTATTCATGTCACTTTCATCGGTATGAAATAGATCTAAGAGTAATTAGTTCAATCCCAGACAATCGCCCCAGCACCAGTGGGAGTCACCATGAATAATAATCGTTGCAAGATAGAACAAAGTGCTCGATACCCTAGTTGGATGTTCCTTGGCAGGGCCTTTTCGTGCGAGAAGAGCTATATTTAATTAGTACATCATAGTCCGTAGAAGTTGTGGCTATTAATGAAGAACACTCACTATCAAAAATGACCGACGGGTCCGGTAGCACACTGGGTCTTGGGTGCTGTGGTGTCACAGTCCGAGCATATGGGCTTCCAGCTGCCCCAAGATGGGGATACATAATGTTCTGTGACACTTTATTAGTTATTCTGGCCCTAGCAACGACATGGAAGGCATGTTTGCACATTATTACTACCATCAGCCGTGCGGTACTTAAATTCATTACCCAAAGATGAGACAGGTGGGTGTTGCAGAGAATTCCATAATGTCTTCACAAGTTCGTTGGTGATATCGTCACGGAGCCTTGAGTTATCTGGCAAAGATGCAGCAACCTGTATGATCCTCTCAATCTATTTTGGCAGTTAAAAATACTGTCATCCATATCACCTATGGTAGTCTGGTCATGTTATTATCTTACCAGATACTTTCGGTCATCAATGATACCCCCCGCAATAATAGTCGAGCCAATTCCTTGAAGGACCTCCAAATCTGGCAGGATGCGACCTGTTTGACTTGAAATATCTTGACGTAGTCCGGTGACAAGTTTGGTTAATTTAGAAAGGTTACCTGAGGGACCATTAGGTTCCCTTCTATCGTTGTACGTCATTGCTAGTGAATGAAGACTGTTTTGGGGATGGCTATGTGGAATAAATTGAGTATTAAGAAATTAAAAAAAAGGAAAAGAAGGACAGAAAGGACCAGGGGGCAAAATTAGGCAATTTATATTATATGTATAGCCCGATTTCTACTTTATAGTTAGTATTGGCCAGATTTCTTGCATAATTATGCCGTGCAACCTGTAGTTACATCATGACAAACGTTGTTTCTGGACGATCACATGCTTGTGGGCCTGTGGCTGGAACCCGACTCTGTTACGTAGAACCAATGGGAGACCATCTCAGTGCGAGCCTCTGAGATGGTAACATAAGAATAAGTCACACAAAGTATTAGCGTCTATCCCCGCCAATCGGATGCAGATAAGAAACCAGATAACCTTAACTATCTGTCACTGACCGAACCCAAAAGGAATTCTAGACCCTAAGAATGCTATGGGAAGAATAGAGATGGATCTTCCTATCTAAGCGTGCCGTACAAACAAGAAGGAATAGCTGAAGAACAGGAAGTCGAGTATCGGTGATGTCAAATAGGGCGAGGAGGCGAGGAGATCCACCGTGGGACGAGCTACTAGAGAGTAGGGGGTATACCGAGACGGGAGTTGCTCGATTTTTCTCAATACAGATAGTATCGGCGTCATTTTGGTGCATGTCAACGAAGGACTAGTTTTACAGCGGCGCCCAAGGAGGACGAAGGCGGATGGAGATGTCCAACACCACTTGTTGCAATGACTTTCGTTCTTAGTAAAAGTAGAATAGATTATGACTTAAACTCAGCCTCCTTTAATGCCCGGTAAATCTTCCTTCTCATTTCTGTTGCAGCATTATTGCCAATTGATGCCCTGTTCCGAGAAAAAAACCTCGACTTTGATAAAAGCCTGAGCGTTGCAGTGAGACATAGGGAGTGCCCTTCGCAGTACTCTCTTGCGGAAGTAGCTCACTAACGCAATGGACAACAACCCCGGATCCATGTTAAACCCACCAAATCGATCCACAATCTCCGGCCCGTGGAGCGGTGCCAACCATTTCCATATAGCCTGTTTTGGGAAAACCCCTTTCCCCAAGTTCTATGATGGTCTAGAACCGAGGGAGGGCGTAATTGAACATGGGTTTCGAAGTGTCGCCCACTGTTCTGGGATCCTCTAGGACCTGACTGAAGGAGGACATATGCTGTTCTCGCTTTTTAAACCACCACGAGAGAATCAACACAAAAGCTGTGCACGGGAGTACAAATGCCCAATAAACCCAAAAATTGTCTTGAATCACGGGGATAGAATTCCAGTTCAGAGAAGGCACCGAAAAGAGTGTGGCGAAAATGTCCTCGGCAGGAAAACCATCGTCATTATCGCAATAACTTCCATCGACGAGGTGTCCTGTTGTGCTGACTTTGCAAGTTGTAGGCTGGCCCACGCATCACCCCGGGTCAACATATTGCATATCTACCGCGGTCAATTCCCATCCATTTTTGAATTTTCACGCGGATAGTCTTACCACCCTCAGTTGATTCTTAGCTCTTTCTCGAAGGTAGTCGATGTGCAACTGGGTTGAATCAAGCTGGGATAGTAAAACATATAGAGCTTCATCCATTGACTGTACGGAACTTTGAGGTTCGTCTCCGAAGCCACCTGGCATTCTCTCCTGCCTGTCCAAACGGTCTTGTTGGTTTTGAACTCCAGTTATGGCCCTCTGTGGCTGTTTCACCCGGTACATAAGATGTTCAAGCTGTACCAAAGTGGCACTCATATGCTGAGACATTCCGGCCAGTTTCTCTATTTCGTCTTAGTCCGAGACTTTCCTTGCTGGCGATGAGTGCCAAGGATGAAGTCTAGTTTGTGATTCAACGCCTCTGATGGATTGACGTTGCGCACGCACTGATGTTTCAATGAAGCCTATAGTTTAGACAATACCAACGAACAGAAGGAAGTGTGGGTGCGAAATCATTTGAAGGCTCTCATTAAGAATTGAAACAAACTCTGCGAATGCTTTTCGACCCCTATCCGTATCTCGAGAGATGACGACTCCATTGATCGTGAAAGTGGTGCTGTTGTAGGCCCAGGCGACTTTGGATGCATCACAGTTCAGATAATAGGTGAGGTGTGTGCTCTTTCCAATATTTCGGGCGTTGTCCAGTCTGTGGAAACCCTTCCAATCTGTGGAAACCATGTCCAAGAGATATTGGTCGAGTTGGTGGATCTCAAATAATCCGAGAATGTGGGTTTCGCTGGTGTTGAACTTTTCGTCTTCGGACGAGTCCCAATCGAGCTTGACTAATCTCATTGACGGGCAAGACCTTTGAAGTTGGGAATGCCTCTCGAGGTCATCAATGGACAGGACGCTTCTACTAATCGCAGGGCTAGGCGCTGATTCCGCTAAGACATCGATCACATCATATCGATGACATGATTTGGAAAATCTTTGCTCCGTAAACGTCGCTTTGGCTCCTTTCGGAAGCGCTTCCATGGGGTATAAGGTGAAGCTGTCTTGTTGAATAATCTTGTATGACCTGTACGATTTCTCAGGGCTCCGACTCAGACAGGGTAACAAGTTATGGTTCAATCTCAAACATTGGACTCTAACGACGTTTTATTCGTGGACAGTAGGTTCGCGAGTGACGCCTTTCCTTGTATGCTAACCAAAATTGATATCTTTCTCCCAGCGTGGCCCTGTAGAACATTTCTCTACTCCGTACCTATCTAAGAGCGGAGCTTGCACACGTGGTGCCAGAACAGCGTGACGGACAAGCGCCATCACGATTACGTCCTGATTAGGGGGGTAAGTAGTATTACTGAAATCTTCCCGGAAACGCGGAAATATTGCGTGTCTTATGTTTATTGGTTGCTGGACACAGGCGCTTCGAGATATTGCAGGGAACTTCCTATCACGCGACTTTGCAATAATTCAACTCCCGTCGGAAACATGACGTACCTCAATACTCCAAGTAGAGTGGGTTAATCTTACCGTTGTACCTTACTATAATCTAACTATAACCGGCTAGGTTAGGTTAAGGTATAAAGAATCTAATAACTAGACTAGTATAATTAGGTTAAAAATAAAGGTTCTATTTTACTGGATTAACTAGCTAGTAAGATAGAGAAGATTAATCCGATAAGAGTACTAACCGCAGATTAAACAGTAATTAATATATCTTAATTATCTTTATAGTTTACTGTATTTTTTTATTTTAATATTAATATTCTTGTGATTTCGTGATATAATTTACTACTTAGAATAAACTAATTAAAATATTCTGCTTCGAGGACACGTTAAAAAAAAAAATATCTATTATTTATTTTTTATTCTTTATACTGTCTCGGGCGTTATTTATAATATTAAAGGAATTGTATCTTTTTAACAGTCTAGGTAGTATGCGGAGATTCTAGCAATAATCTATTTTTTAGATTCTTATTTATATTATCTATATTTAGAGTGGGCATTCTTAACCGTTCAGGTTAATTACCGAGCTTTTATAATATGTATTTAACCCACTAAAATTATGTAATATAGTGTTATAATAGAGAAATTAGATATCACGTGCTATGCAATATTTAATTACATAATAACATACCACTATTACGCTATATTAGTAAATAATACATGACTAATCAATTTTAGACCCTTGTTTATAGTGTATTTTTTAACCGTTGAGTATTATACGGTATTATAGATGTATTACGTAATATAGTTCTATATATATTATGTAATAATATTATATATATATAAATTTCAATTTTAAATTTAATTATACCTAATATTCAAGCTATAATCTTTATACCTGAGGCGGTATTTTTTAACCGTTTTAGCTAAAACGGTTAATAAAACGGTTAACCATGCCTACTCTATCTATATTTTTATTGTTATTAATATATAAAGGCGCTTCGGTTGTATTATTGTTTTCTTTCTTATATATAAAGATAATAGAGTCGGGGTTAACCTTATTAAGATTCATAATAAATCGCAGAATTTAGTTAAGAAATTTTTATTTAGTATAGATAGTTGTTAAGCCTTAAAAAATTAAAACTTTTAGTATAAGATAAATAGAAGAAAGATAAATATCCTACCGGTTTTTTACTTAATATCTAAGCTACTATTTATTTAGAAGATATAAAAGACGATTTTTTAAAGCAGTCTTTTTAGATATAATAGGCTATTAAATTAGTTTTAGTATACTCTGTTAATAGATATTAAAGTAAATAAGAATATAAGATATAAAAAATATAGAGAGTTCTATCTAGAAATTAAATATTTTTATAGAATTTATTCTATATAAATAAGTATTTTTTAGAATTAAATTAAATTAATAGCTTTTTAGCTTCTTTCTATTTCTTAGCCTAGATAGTAATATTCTACTATTCTTTAAAGATATAAATTTTTTCTTACTTAATTAAATACTAAATAATTTTATAGCCTTTAGAGAGATATAGAGAATTAAGCTTAGCCATAGGGTGTTTGCCGACTAGACTTAGAGTCCCAACAACGTCGATGCCATGTAAAAATTCGCTGAGGTATAGAGTAGCTTAGGGTTTTTTAGGGTTTCTACCCCAGCAGCCCCCCGGGGCGGTTCGAGCGGCGGATCTCGGGTTGGGCGATTTTGTATGGGCGCTAGGGTTTGGGGTGGTCGACGGGCGGGTTTGGGAACTTGCCACCCGGTCCTTTTGGGCTTCCCGGCGGCGGCGGGCGCTGAAACAGCGTCGATCTATTCGGCCGCCATTTTATTCTCTCCCTGTAGACTTTCAAGGCGATCGCCCTTGAATTGCGCTGGTCCCCGCGGTTTCAAATCCACGGGTCGGAGGGGAGAATTTTGGTTGGGGTACGGTCCGCGCGGACGGATCGGCTGACACACCGTTTGTTAGGGTTATAATATCACCAGATAACTCCCCCTATATCGTCATTTTTGAAGGGTTTCTTTCACTCTAAATATAGGTCTGTTTGTTTGATGCTTTCTTTTTTCCTCCTGGGTGTCGGCCCCTGAATCGTCTCGCCTGCCTTTAGGGCCGGCGACGCCTCGCTCCCTCTGTCGCCGCCTGTACATATATGTAACTGTTCACAATTAATTCTCCTTCTTTCACCCCGTCTCTCCCTCTCAGTCCCCTACAGGAACGGTACGATGGCCGACATGCTCTTTGAGCGAATCCCGCGCCTCCAGGTAATGATCTGCCGGCAGTGTCGGTATGGCGTCTGGCCGGCCGAGGCGGAGCGACACCTCAAGCGACATCACCAGCTCGACCACCAGACCGTGCGGCCGATGCTCCAGTCGATTGCGCAGTGGACGGACGTGGCGCGTAACAGTCAGGCCGTCGACATCCCCCACTGCCTCGACGAACCGCTGCCGATTATCCCCTGCTTCTCGCAGGGCCTCTTATGCCGCCGCGACCCGGCGACCTGCCACTATCTTGTCGCGAACATGAAGTCCATGCGGAAACACTGGCAGGCGGTCCACCAGTGGTCCCAGTACCCCGAGCGCGGCCGGGCCCCCCAGTCGCAGCAGGCCGCGCGGGAGGCCGAGCTGCGGCGGTCGTACGAGGTGGTCTCCTACCAGCAGCTGTTCCCGTCGCGCGCGGGCTCGCACTACATCCACATCCGGTTCCCGCACGGCCGCGCGTCGCCGCCGCCGCCGCCAGACCAGGCGCAGCAGGCGGTCGATGCGGTCGTGCAGGCGTGGGAGCAGGCGGAGGCCGCCCGTCGACAGGCCCCCATCGAGCCCACGCAGCTCCACGACGCCAACCCGTGGCTGCGCATGACGCGGTGGACGGAGTATCTGAAAGACATCCCGCCGGCCGACTTGCTGCGCAGCGTGGAGGCCCCCGACCCCGACACGGCCGACCCCGTGGAGCAGGGGGTGCTCATCCTGTACCACACGGTCGACCAGCTGGCGCGGAAGAGCCAGCGGACGGTCATGCACTGCGGGCAGGCGATCCGCATGGAGGCGGTGCGCACGCAGGCCGGGGAGCTGCCGCACCAGCCGCTGCTGGCGTACATGGACGCGAACAGCGTGCGGAAGCACGTTCCGCCGTGGCAGCAGATGTTGGGGTTCTTTGCGCGCACCCAGCATCCGCAGGCATGGAAATGTCCCGTATACCAGTTTACCGCGCGGCAGCAGCAGAAGTGGACGCGACTGTGGCAGCTGGTGCAGCACCCCGAGCCACCGCCGCCGCCGCCTGAGCTCCCGGATCTGGACGAGGCGCTACAGCCGTGGCTGCTCGAGCCGCGCGAACGGGCGTGCCTCGAGTTTTGCGTCGAGCTGCTGAACCAGCGCCACCGCACCCACGAGTACGAGAGCGCGCTGGTATGCGCGATGGCGGTGCTAGGCCGCGGCCGGGACGGCTGGCGCGACCCTGAGAGCTATCCCCCTATCTTATCGCGGGTCATCAAGATCGCGCGGTTTTTCGTCGTCCAGAAGGCACTGTGGCTCGACTCCGCGGCGATGCAGATTGTCACCATGTGGCAGAAGAAGCAGGCAACCGTCCCGTGGGCGCTGCAGAGCGCAGACGACGAGCTAGCGGATTTAGATGAGGGGTACGCCAGCGGGTCGGCTGCGAGCAGCCCTGCGCCATCATCCATGGAGTTCGATAGTGTCGAGGCGGGCTTTCGGTCCCGGCCGGATCCCAGTTATGATCGAAATGGGGAGCGATGGCGGGCGCCGTCGAGCGAACGGTCAAGCGAGGGGTTTGGCACCCCCGTCCATCCGGTGCGGAGCAGCCCTATCAGCCGTGGAGGGCGCCTGAGTGGTCCGAGCCGCCCCGGCAGCCAGACCGCGGGCCTGTTCGCGGGGGCCACGTTCCAGGACCAGCTCGAGCGGATGGTGCGGCGGTTCCTGGTGCGCGGCAGCCACGGCCCGATGCAGACGTTGCTGGACTGGCGCACGTACGGGCTGCGGGTGCATTACAACAGCACCACGCCCGGACACATCACGTGGCAGGGGACCGACGAGCTGCTGTACAAGGAGCTGCGCTTTACGATGGGCGACTTACGCGGCTTCCTCCACGGGCTGGTTGAGACGACGCGGGGGCTGCTGGACGAGCTGCTGTTCTGCGCCGCCGACCGGCCGGCGCCGGCGATCCCATGGGGCCGGCTGTACGACAACCCCGTCGAAGGCCAGGCGGGCTGGAGCTTTCTGCGCGATAGTCGGACGACGTGGCCCGTCGACGGGCAGCGGTGGTTGATCGACCGCGTTCGGGCCGAGCCGGGGCTGCAGGCGCAGTTTATTCGGACCCACCGGTTCCACCCCCCTAAGATCCGGGCGTACTGCAAGCAGGTCGTCACCTTTCGAGAGAAGCTCGCGGTGTTGACACATATCTGCGGCGGGCAACCCAGTCGCGCGCCCGAGCTGCTGAGTATCCAGCATGTAAATACGGATACCAACATCCGCCGGAATATATATATCGACGACGGGCTGGTCACATTGGTCACCGCGTACCACAAGGGCTTTTACACCAGCAACGACGCGAAGATTATCCACCGATACGTGCCGCAAGAGGTCGGCGAGCTCATAATCTATTACCTGTGGCTGGTGCGGCCGTTCGTCGATCAGCTCGATATCTGGCTGGAGCAGCAGTCGCCCGCGCCGCGCGAGCCCCTCTCCACGCAGGAACGCGCCTTGCTGTGGGGGCCCGACCCTGGCACGCGGCGGGGGTGGTCGTCCGACCGGTTCCGCGAGGTGTTTAAGCGGGAGACCCAGGGCCGATTTAGCGGATAAGCCCGTCCACCCCGCCGCGTACCGCGACATCGCCATTGGCATCAGCCGGCGGTTTCTGCGGGCCAGCAGCCAGTTCCCACAGCGGGCCGATGAGCGCCATGAGCGCGAGCAGGTCATCGCCGACTCCGATAATGAAGCGGCGATGGATGAGGACCAGTGGCAGAGCCACATCGCCGACTTACAGGCGGCGCACTCGTCGCATGTTGCCGGTATGATCTACGGCCGCGGGCTGATGGAGCAGGCTGGCACGCCATAGGGTGTTTGCCGACTAGACTTAGAGTCCCAACAACGTCGATGCCATGTAAAAATTCGCTGAGGTATAGAGTAGCTAATGCACAATCCTGCCCTTCAATCAGAATTTTAATATCTTCTTCCGTTCGCGTGGAATCGTTAGCCAAAGTTGGCAACTTTTGAGGTTTTCCGGGTGGAAGATTACTTAATCATCCCGCTCGACTTAACGTCTCAAAACTAAGCCTTTTTCGATTAAATTCCTCAACACTAAACTACTTTCAGATTTGTCCTCAACACTAGACCTATTTTAGTTTTATATTCTAATCACCTCTACTTCCTGGCATACTGTACACTGCTTCTTTCAACCGCTATGCTTTGCACATTCTGACACTGGTTTACTTATAAGGGAAGTGTAAGACTTTCGGTCATGTCCGAAAACCTTGCTATCGGTTGCCTGGCTAGGGAAGGTTGTAATAATGCGTTGTTTTAAGATCATCTTCGAGACAGAATAGAAACCGACCTATTCATCCTGTTACCCCTTTTTCTTATTTCAACTTTCGACGACCAAGGCACTTGAAATCTCTCTATCTTATAGCGCCGCCTACTTTCTCTCCCCTCTCTTAGGCTTCGGTTCTAGTGATTCTTCCGTTATTATGTCTCCCCTTAACTCTACTTCCACCCGAAAGCGCGGTCGGCCCCCCAAGTATCAGTCTGCAGAAGAGCGACAGGCCGCGAAGATAACACGACAACGAAATCAGCGACAAGCCGCCCAAGCGGCTAAACGCAACACCTTCTTTGATGAATACTACTCGGCCGGTCCATCTGCAACTGGTGAACGCCCGATCGCTCTTGTTCCTGGCATAGCGGCGTTGTCGGTGACCCATGAACTGGAAGAGTTGCTCCCGCCGTTAAGCCCTGATCCAGCTCCTCTTGAGCTCGAAGATAGCTCTATCCTAATTGACGAGCCGCCTCTAGAGCTTAACAGTCTCGAACCTGCCGCTAGTCCTACCCCTAACCTTCCCGAACAGTCCCGACCGACGCACAGTGAGCACCTCGAGGGTGATCTATCAAATTTAGAAACCGGAAGCCCTGCCCCAGCGGCTGCCGAGGATGGCGAGGATGTTTGCACGCTGGCACGCGTGCTGGCCGACCAGCTATATCAGCATCACGGCTGTTGTCGGGAGTGCCATGAGCAGGCCTGCGCGGCGCACCAAGAGACGCATTCGGTTCATACCGGGCTGGGGGAGTATGTGGACCAGATTAATATCGCTGGCGATTTCCCGGATGTGCTGGGCTCGGCTACAATCGCGGCCCGCGAGTCCAATCTCGCCCAGCAAGTCACCAAGGCACGAAAACAACAGATCTACTGCGGCATCGATCCTCACAAGCCCGATGAATCCCCAACGCATCTCTGCGTGGCAGCCGACCATCGTCCCGATCCTTCCTTGGGCGTGACTGTTGATATCGATAGCGTGGGTGGGTTTGTCAGTAGTCTGGCGGTAGCTCGTCGGGGGATCCGATGGCATCCTACGCAGATGGCGGTGTCCGACCTCCAGTCCAGCCTGCATATAGATCCGGTTTCAGTCCAGTATTTCGACTCAACCGGGCAGGCCCACCATGTTCGCCGGCCGGTCCATCAAGTGCCGCACTATACCTTTGGTCGTCTAATTGGATTCGAAGATATCTCTCTGTATCTGCTCTTTCCCCGACTGTACCGGGAAGATCAGCAATCCAGCCGTCTGCTAGACCAGGATTTCCAGCAATGGACGGACGAAATCCTCCTCCCAATCATCAATCGGTGTTATTCCGGCGACCTGATCCAGCACTACCCCTCTAGCTTCGACCATAGCCGGCTGAACGCGACCGCCCGGGGAGTGGAAATGCGGTCCCAGCGAGTGGATCCGATCCCCCGCGAGCAGTTGCTTTCCTACTTTCTTCCTCCCGAGGCGCTTCCCACAATCTGGGAACAGATTCTAGAGGCGACCCACCGCCCCGGATTCCACCAGTTTCAGGATCTTAAGATTCTAATCGAGGGGAAAAACCTAAAGACCCTGACTAAGGCAGACACATTAGCCGATCTCATGGCGGGCTTTCAACAACACTGGCAGAACGCTATTAATGAGGACTATCTCGCTGAGCCGTTCTTCTACGACCTTGGAAAAGAAACCTGCCCAACCACGGCGAGCGAGCGAGAGAGGCCGCCGCAATCTTTACTCTGGCGGCGTTGTTGCCTGAACGCGTATAGCCAGTGGATCCATAGCAAGCAGCCAGCGGACGCGCCCCATGCTCTGCAGCACTTCTACCCAATCAGTATGCTAGAAGACACCGGCAGCCTGACGTTAGAGACCCGGCGAACATCACCGCAGCGGCGGGCCGGTCTCTATTATAGTCAATTCTACGCTAGTGTGAAAGAGGTCTTCGCCGCCGGCAATACATATCCATTTACCAATACTGCAACGGAGACCTTGGCGCTGGATCCCCAGCTTCGCAAGACGTGGCAGACCGTTGGCGGTGGTCTTAGCCATAATCCGATCGCGCTCAACCGGGCCTATCTCACCACAAAGCAACGGTGCCATGCTGCGTTACAAGGATCGGTCCCTAAGGTCTTTGGCCTGCGCGAAGAGCACCGGGTCTCTCACGCTTTATTTTGTCAGATTCTGCACGAATTTCAGACCCGGCAACAGTTTACCACCCGATTTCTGGGTTCTGGAGATCGGGTCGAGAGTTACTACGCTTTGCCGACCTTGACGCTTCTTCGCTGGTTCCGATGGAATATCAACAAGTTTTGTGTTGGGTTTGAAATGGTGTACAGCTTAAATGACCGGCATTTTGTGACCTGGGAGCATACCCGGGTCATGTTAATGTTCCTCCGCTGCCTTCCATTCTCCTACTCCGGCGGCCTTTTGGAGCGGGTCTCCGGCTGTTGGCGCGATGTCTGGTTTCGCCCGGATCCCACCCAGCCGGACGGTCTTCGGCGGTGCGAGGGGCTGGGCTTCCAGCGGAATATGCAGCAATTTGGGTACGGCTGGTTCCTGGAGAAGATAGATTGGGAGATGATGGTGTTCCGACAGCCGGCCACGCAATACATCCAATTCAACAACCCGTCGCTCCAAGCCGCGTACCACGCGCGTTATTCCCAGGTGCGGGATGTTCGCACGGACTTCATTCGCATCAGCCAGATCCACCAGTGGATGACCGAGTTTAGCAGTATTCCTACCTGCCAAGACTATCTGCAGAAATATCTGCGGCAGCTGTGTTTGCGGGCCTTTCGCAAGGATGTTTTTACGCAGATCAAACGGCTTCTAAAGCCGGAATCCGTAAGCGCAGCGTTAGCGGGAGAGATCCCGCTCTGCTGGCCGAGTCTCGAAGGCGCGCTGCAGACCCAACACTGTCCGCCCTATATTGCGTCGGGGAACCGCATGGCGGTCAAACATATTAATGTCCTTTTTACATGGCTATGGGAGTGGCGCGATGGCCGATTCGAACGAAAAGGATGGGATCACAAGCCCCTACCGACCTTCTTTATCAAAAGAGCTTCGAGGTGATTACCCCTGTTCCAAGGCAAGGACGCCGACTCGTCAGTGGAAACAGGGTCTAAAAGATTCCTTTATTCAGAGCCATTGGATGCTTCCCTATCCTCAGAACAATAGCTTCATGCGAAAGTCTAAGGAGAGTGGCCAGGTGATGTGGTGGTCCAGCGTGCATCGCGGGATGGATCTGTACTACCACGAGCTGAATGTGTTTGACCGCCCCTTTCCGGCGTCCTATATCAAGCATCATCCGACGACCGGTTGGAGCCCATCGCAGCCCTCTCTCGCCCATCTTGACTATACAATTGAACCTGAACAGCGCCTTCTGCATCTATCAGATCCCGAGCTCTATCAGACCCTACGCGACCTACAGAGCCAATGGACGTCGCCAGATAGGCCGCCCCAACGACCGGTACACCAATCTTCGCGAGTAATTTTTGAGAATCAGGAGCGGATCCAGAATCCATTTGATCCGATCACTGGTCCGGTTGAGACATGGTCGATCTCCGCGTGTAGCCGGAAGCTCCATCCCGCTCTATATAAATATGAGATTCTTCACCACCGTCGGCAGTGCGTCCAGCGTCGTCGCCATCCCTCCTCCTACCCGGACTATTACTCTGACACTGAGCCCGAGCCTCCGGCCGAAAATGATGAGCAAACCTCCGATGAAGAGGGAATCGAACCGCAGAAAGCCCGGCTGATCCAGTATATTCAGCAGATCGAGAAGCGGATGTACGAACTCATCTGTCGCGATCGTAAGCAATATAATCGACCTCGCCTGGACGAAGGCACGATTAAGGCTTTTGCTCCTCAATTACGCCGACTGCCTGCACATGATTTTTCACTCTTACTATTACTGCAGATTCCTGCAGAGGTAATCAAAGAGGAAAAAGAGAACCGGAAACGACAAAAGCCATACGCATGGATCCGCCCCTTGTAATATTCGATTCCGAAGTAAGGCAGGCATTAGCAATTTATTCTCTTTTCCGTGCTAGTTCTGGTTTTTTACTTTATTGTAGGCGCGCAGTACCCCCAGCATAGCGATTATATGACTATCTCAGAAGTGAACCGGCCGGTGGAATCCTAGGGCACTTTTCAGTCATGACTGGAAATTAGACATGACCGAATAATCGCCAGTAGGACGGTTATTCTATTTAGATATGCTAACCGAACTCCTACATTACTTTGATAGGGACAGAACTGCAGACGTTTTCTATAGGCGGATACGGGTCCCTATTCACTAACGCAGAGCCCCACCTCTATAGATCTCCCGCAAACCTTAATTCTGTCTTACTTTATATCAGTCTCTAGGATCTTAAACGGTCATCCTGGGGCCTTAGCCTGTCAAAAATACCACAACAATGCCCTACCCCAGCAGCCCCCCGGGGCGGTTGGTCGGGTGCGTTTCGGGTTGGGCGGCTTGGTAGGGGGCTAGGGTTTGGGGTCCCGAGAAGGGTGCGTTTTTTCGGGTCCGAGTGTGGTGCATATCGGCTGTCCGGGCCCGCCGCGCGCCGAAACCTCGCCTGTTTGTTCGGCCGCCATTTTCGTCCTCTCCCGTTGCGTCGGACGCTCTTGATTGCGTGAAATGCCGCTGTTCGGTCTGGTCAAAGTGGGCGGGTTGGCACGGGCGGATTTTTTTGATGGGGTACGGCTGGCTGGCGCGCGGCGGTCGCGGTGATTGATCTATCAATTATAATAGATGGTGATATACGTCTCTATATCTCTCTACGGGCTAAGACAAGGCCCCTTTTCCAACGTGCCTCCCCCAGGCGGCACAATCGCTCTTCCTATATCTCAAGCATACCTCTCACATAGCTGCTTCTTCCTCCCAATCCGCTTTGTCAGGATTCTACAACCTAATACCGATTACACCACTACCATGGCCGACCAGTTATTTCAGAAAGTCCCCCCGTTAAAGGTCATGATCTGCCGCCAGTGCCATCATGGGGTCTGGCCGGCCGAAGTCGAAACCCATCTCAAGCAGCAGCATCGGCTGGACCATCGTACCGCACAGCCGATTATTCAGGCTGTCCAGACATGGACTGACCTCGCTCCGTCGCGCGAGAGTTGCATTATCCCCGCCATAGGGTGTTTGCCGACTAGACTTAGAGTCCCAACAACGTCGATGCCATGTAAAAATTCGCTGAGGTATAGAGTAGCTAATGCACAATCCTGCCCTTCAATCAGAATTTTAATATCTTCTTCCGTTCGCGTGGAATCGTTAGCCAAAGTTGGCAACTTTTGAGGTTTTCCGGGTGGAAGATTACTTAATCATCCCGCTCGACTTAACGTCTCAAAACTAAGCCTTTTTCGATTAAATTCCTCAACACTAAACTACTTTCAGATTTGTCCTCAACACTAGACCTATTTTGGTTTTATATTCTAAACACCTCTACTTCCTGGCATACTGTACACTGCTTCTTTCAACCGCTATGCTTCGCACATTCTGACACTGGTTTACTTATAAGGAAAGTGTAAGACTTTCGGTCATGTCCGAAAACCTTGCTATCGGTTGCCTGGCTAGGGAAGGTTGTAATAATGCGTTGTTTTAAGATCATCTTCGAGACAGAATAGAAACCGACCTATTCATCCTGTTACCCCTTTTTCTTATTTCAACTTTCGACGACCAAGGCACTTGAAATCTCTCTATCTTATAGCGCCGCCTACTTTCTCTCCCCTCTCTTAGGCTTCGGTTCTAGTGATTCTTCCGTTATTATGTCTCCCCTTAACTCTACTTCCACCCGAAAGCGCGGTCGGCCCCCCAAGTATCAGTCTGCAGAAGAGCGACAGGCCGCGAAGATAACACGACAACGAAATCAGCGACAAGCCGCCCAAGCGGCTAAA